CCTTAACCAAACTATATACTAACCTGTATTCTTTCTGAAACCACATTTGAATATGGAGAAGCAGCACCTTCATACATTGGATATGAGATGCTGTTTGGTGTTCTTGGATAAGACTAAACCATTTATTCACCTCAACTTTGCCTCATAGGCAGATCAGGTGAAGGGTCAGGTGGTTTCCATGGAGATGATCTCTACGAGGATTATTGCCATGACAATGGCATATGGAATAGCTCAGTCTACACCTTCATAAGGTGTAATACTGGCGGTGGCTTATTCGACGAGGATCCAAGCGGCTTCAGTCACATGTCTCAGTGATGTTTCTATATTAAACTTTTGCAGAGCAGCTGCCTGTTTTCCAATGCATACTTTTAGCAAACATTATGCTATTATGGCTGTAAACATTGAGAAGACAGCTCTGCAGCTCACCTTTAGGTAGACTCTGAGCCCCACCTTCTTCAGTTACTGCTTGTGAGTCACCTGAGCGGAATACACGTCTGAAAAGACACACAGAATCAAAAAACCCAGTTACTTACCTCTTGTGTAACTGTGGTTCTTCGAGATGTGGATTCATACATTTATTCCACAGCCTGCCCTGTGTACCCTCTGCATCGGAGTCATTAGCCTTGAATTTTGGTGCAAAGGAACTGGGTTGGGGCGGCACCATCATTACATAGTCATGGGAAGGGCAGTGGGGCTGAAGGGTGCAACCGTCACCTCTCGGGTACTGCTAAACAAAATTCTCTGGCTTTGGTGCACTGGGCACACCTGCACTTGAGTGGAATACACATCTGTACCCACACCTCGAAGAACAACAGTTACAGTACGCAGGGAAGTAACTGTTTTTTCCCCTTTGTGCATATGCATCACAGCAGGCTCCCTTATTTGTATTACAGTAGCTCCTAGAGGCCCCAACTGAGATTAGGCACCCCATGATGCCAAGCACTGCACAGATAAGAGTGGGAGACAGCCTCTGCCCCGAAGATCTTACAAACTAAACAGACAAGACAGACATAGGGAAGGAGGGGAAAAGGGGGCATTACACTATTCATGAAAAAGAAGACCCCACTCTAATACTGGATTGATGTAATGAGGAAAAGAGGTAGGCAAGAGGAGAGTCGTTCTGCTTTGGAAAAGAGTTGTTTTTCTCACACTCACCTGTCTCTTCACCCCTCAGCAGGTACTGTCTGAGGGGTTACCCCGGCAACTCTTTATCAGGCTTGTAGAACTAAATCAATAATGTGGCTTGGTTTTTACTAGGTGGAGGAGGAAGGTGGTGGAGAATGGGGAGGGACTGAATTGTCTCTCAGGAGGGGAAAGCTTTCAGAGGAGCTTCTCAAGCCCTGGTTGTAACCATTGTTTCTAAAATGGGGATGGAGAGGAAATATGTCATGCAGGGGAGCAGGGCAAGGGGCACTTCAGCACAGGAATGTTATTTCTGGCCTTGTGTTCCTTTACAAGAGGCAGGCTGCATCAGGACTGAGATAAATGGGGGCCTCTGGCAGCTTTCACACCACAGCTAAGCAGGCTGCCCTGTTAGGAAAAACAGTTCCTTTGCAATGATCTGTGGGCCGTTCGTAGCCAGCAGCCCTTCCAAAATGCAGAACTATAACATTTTCCTATTTAAGATGATGTTTGTGGCTATTTGAGCTGATTCTTTGTTTGTGCGATGAGCTGCTTTTGGCTCTCAGGTGGCTCCTGATGTTTGACTAATGACATAGTTTTTTTATGTTTCATCGTACGCAGTCAACGTTAGCCCCTTTCTGTGTTTGCAAGCAGCTTCCAGGCTTGACTTTGTGCAGCTCTGGTACATGAGGCAGGTGTGCTTGTGCCTTTAAAACTAAAGGCACAAGGTAAAATGGTACAAGGGGTTAACCAGTATTCTCTGCAAGTACCTCCTGTTGGCAAGACTGTAGAATAGTGTTGTCCAGGTTTGTGAGCAGATGTCTTGAACAGCAGTTTGACATCATCATGAGCCATAAGGGTATAGCCCTCAGTGAGATAAAGGATGTCACTAAGAAGCACGTGTCCAAGGCAGATTGAAATATTCTTCTCCCTACTTTGCTCAGTAATGCCGTCCCTTGTGAATCCACTTGATGTGAGTAGATAGCCACCTTTCACCATTCTAGCTCCACTTAGGCTTTTGGAGGAAAGCCAGTGTAAGCCAAGCTGTTTGTGTTAATAGCAGCAATCTGAGAGCTGTGAGCTGTAACCATTGCCCTTCTGGTTATTAACTACATAATGAGGCAAACAGTGTGGAATCAGTTGGCATCTGTTCCATTTGTGCTTGGCGGTGAGCTTGATAGTGTCTTATGCCCAGACAATGAAGACTGATGGTGCCTTCTAGAAGCTCAGGAAACAAATCCTCTGTGCAAAGTGTGCCCGTCTAGAATAGAAGTCCCTGGCCGAGGCTGGAGATTATTGGGTCATGTTCTTCAATATCAAACTGCATGTTTTTTCAAGAAAAAGAAAATGGAGGAATCTGGCCAATGATGCTCCTGAATTGCACAGCTAAAAAGAACAAAATCAGTCTTACATTGGAAGTGTGTCTGGGAATGTTCTCCCTTCTTCCCCGAAACTTCCCAGCACACAACACCTGCCAGGCACGTAAACTATCTTGGCATAACCACGCTCCTTTGTCTTACAGTTTAAAAGAGCTTTTATCCTTCTCATATCAGCCTTGTTCTAGAGACAATGCCACTGAACCACCTGGTCTATCCCCATGTATTGCTGCAGGATTGGTTTAATTCTTCCTATACTGTCCCTGATGTGGTCGTGGGGTGGGAGGGACAAGGCTAACTCTCTTATCCTGCACACATGTCGGTAAGGTGGCTTGTGTGAGTTTCACTAGTGTGTATAAATGTCAGTTTGGTTCCCCTCCCTCCCCTACATTTATAGCTCCTACTGAATTTATTTCCACCCACCCCTGCAATGAAAAAAGCCATCCTTTCCATAGTCTGTTAATCTGACTCTAGAAATGAGTCACTGCTGCTTTTTTGCTTGCTTCTGCAGAAGCTGACAAAACATGAAGACTCTCAAGAACAACACGAAATAAATCCCCTAGATAAAGGACTCCTTACCCTTCTTCCTTTCATCCTTTTTTCAATCTATGAACTTCATGGATACATTGCTGGATACCCAGAGTGGGCCAGAATGAGAGGGCAAAACAGAAACAGCCTGTGACAGCTGTGTGCGTTGGGGGAAGCTGGGCCTAACTGGAATACATTGCAATCTGTGAAAGGGTCTAATACAGAAGATAATCTCTTTCTTTATGAGGATTTACTATACCCTTTATTTGCTCTCTATCACCTTGGTACTCTTTCATTACCCATAATACATTTCTCTTTCATGTCAGCTAGGATTGGCAGATCAGCATTCCAGGTCAGATCCCCTGATGATGTGAACTCAGCGTTGGGGAATGTAACTCTGATTACAAAAATAGTTCTGGCTGAGGTGGTATCACCATCTAGGCATCCCAGAGAGAGTGAAATGAAGCGTGAATCCTAGCGTAGTGTGCTATTCAGTTAATCTTTTAAAAATACTGACACAACATAAGACTATTGTTGCAGCAGCAAATTGTAGAGAACAAAATATCCTTGGAAATGCTCTGACCTTTTGCCTGTGGAGGTCTATGTGGTTTGGATCCTGTGGGAACATGGTAGTCCCAGTCTAGGTTCTTATGGACATTTGTCCACATCACCAAAACAGCATCAAATGTAGCGTGATTCCTGAGGGGAACCCCAAGAATGTTACAACAGAGGATGCTATAGGTCCAAACTGAGGTTCATTGGCAGAGCTGTACAGGTGGGTCGGGGCTAAAATTGTTGTTAAAGCTTTTGTATATCACTTGCCTGCAACTCTGCTTGATGAAGCAGTTTCTGACTTTAACAGGCACTAATCCACCCAGGCCTGATTTCCAGAGGTGCTGAGCACCCACAGATTCCATTGGCTTCAACCGGAGCTCTGAGCATTTGGCACTTTCGGAGTTCAGCCCCACAAGCATTCGGTCCCCATCAGCAGAGTTCTTTTTTTTTACTGTGGAGAGCAATATGAAATGGATGGAGATGTTTATTGCTGAGCTGCAGGTGTGTTTAACCTGTGGCACTAAGTTTGGTATTTTCTCAGCTCCTCTGATGCCTACCTTTGGTGCTTAATAATATAAGCACTTGATGACGTTGCTAGCGGGGTTCCTAATGGCTGCAATAACAGTCATCAGAATCAGTATTATGGTACCAGGCCTATCATTGCTGGGACTGTGATTCCCAGTCTCTTGTCTTTCCACATACACGTTTCCTGTTTTCACCCACCTGATCAAGGTTGAGAGGTGTAGGTTCTTCCAACGAGTGCTGCTTTTTAAATAGGCCTTGGAGCTGCTGTCTTTGAGATAGACTGTCCTTGTGGTTTGCTGGGGCTAGGGGGAAGCAGTGAACCTCTTATCCAGCATCCTCCCCCACTCCCACAGTCCCACAAATTGTTCATCCAGGTTTCTCCTGCAGTCCCAGTTTTGTCACATACTTACAGGAAATCAGGTCAAGTCCAGAGAAAAACACATCTGAGGCTTGAACCTGATGGCCTTACACCAGGGAGCTTCCTACGGCAGGAGTGTCCCTTTGTCTCCCACATTTGAGACACTCCTTACGTAATGGTGCACGCTTCAGTCCCCATGGCAATGGCTTCCCTGTCCCTTCTTGAATAGGGGTCCCTGTGCCTGGCCTGACACAGCTCTGGCCTTTGCAGCTACATTTTTCTTCTTCCTCTCTCAACCAGGACATGTAACTTTTTGTTAGCATCCTTTGACCAAAAGCGTTAACCAGGGCCCACTTTGGAGTATTGCTCCTTCTCCAATTCAACCCGTAGGGGCTAATATGGTAATGGCATCAGGTCCTCTCTCTTTATTCCCCTTTGGCCCTTTCTCACCCCACTGCTCCTTGCTCTGAATCTGTTTGCAAATATTCAGACCCAGTTCATCAGATTCATTGTTTGTTTACTGGCTTGTTCTTTAGGTCCTAATGTCAATGGATTGGAGGAGCCCAGCCTGGCCAAGAGGCTGCGTGGCACACCTGAGCGCATTGAGCTAGAGAATTACCGGCTGTCACTGCAGCAGGAGGAGGAACTGGAAGAGGTTCCCGAGGAGACCCTGGCAGAGCATAACCTGAGCAGTGTACTAGACAAAAGAACAGAAGAGGATGTGCCCAGCAGGTTAGCACACATTGTACACGTGTCCCTGTATCCACCCCAGCAGACTTGTCTACTTGCTCTCATTGTACACTTTCCTGTGCACTTTCCCATACACTTTACTGAGGCTCCCCTTTCTGGAGACCTGATAGCCTCAGCTGCACTTCAGAGAGGTGTATTATACGAGAGTTTCTGTTCTAAACCCCTATTTTGAGTCACTTTAATAGTGTTCTTTAAAAGTTATTTCTTGTACTGAAATTTCTCATGCTCAGTCTTAGCTCAGAAAGGAATTTACTTTTTGGAAAATTTCATCTATAAACAACTGAGTCATTTGGGTGAACAGAACATGGGATCAGAGGGGAGTGTTTTTTCAAAAAGCTTTTTCTGCCTATTTTGCACTCTGATAACTGAAAACCATTTTTGGTTTAAAACTTCAGGTTGGAGAGATACTTAGCCTTGATTGAGTGCCTTTTTGTGCCTGAAAGAGCTTGACTTGAAGTAATTGCTATGGATAGCATAAAACAGGATATGCCACATGCATGTATGGTCATTTCTTCAGCTGCAGAATGGTACATCAGAGTGCTAGGGGCTCAGTGCTCACACATGTGGGCAAATGTCTCTCAGTAATTCCTGCAACAGCAATTCAGTTTGATAAGGGATGAGTGGAACCTTTGCTGTCTCAGCGTCCTCCAGATAATGTGGCTCTCTTACTTACTGTGAGCGCTGCTCCATATCCTTTCATTACAGCAAGAACGCTCCTGAACTGTTCAACTCTTTGCCTGTGCCACAGTTCTTACATTCTTAAAACTGCCACTGTAAACTCCAGTAATGATGATATCGCTGATGGCTAAAGTCAAGATCCTACAATACAATCACATGCATGCTTAACTTGAAACACATGTGTAGCCCTGCATGTTTAGTTGCCTACCTCAATTATACAGGTGAAACTGACTTCAGCTGGGCTACTCAAGAATGTAAAATTAAGCACATTCATAAGTCTTTGCAGGATTAGGGCCTGAGTGCATTCTGGGATGAGCAAATGATAGGAGTCCCTGTAAGCACGTGGGACTCACCCCTGCGGCGCCTCCTGCTGGTGTCCTGGGAATTAGCTCTACTTCCAGCCTTGGAGCGCCCTCTGCAGGCAGGTGTCCCGCTTATGCCAGGCCCCTGTGTCCCTCCCGGACCGTGTGCCCCTTCTACTCCGGGGTGCTGCCCTCTGGCAGTAACCCCTCACTTGCAGGGTCTCCCCTGCCAGGGAACCCCCACCCCCTATCTCTACCTCACCTCAGTCATAGGCTACTGCCAGTCACTAGCTAGCCCCCGTGCCCTGAGGCAGACTGCAGTATAAGCCACTCATCATAGGCAAGGTTGGGTTTGGACCTGCTGCCTCTGTCTAACCTTGGGCTGTCCCCTGCAACCCCAGTACCTGTTGGGCCTAATACTAGGCCGCAGCCTGGGGCTTTCCTGGCTGGAGCTCCCCCAGCTCCTCAGGCCCTTCCCCAGCCCTGCTCCAATCTAGGTATTCTGCTTAGGTCCCTGCAGCCAGGTCTCTCCCTCTCAGAAGCTAGAGAGAGTCTCTTTTGAGTGCCTGGCCTACAGCCCTTTTATAAGGGACAGCTGAGTCTGTTTGAGGCGTGGCCACAGCTGAGGCTGCCTTCCAATCTGCTCAGCCTAAGGCTCCCAGCCCAGGCCCTCTCCAAGGGCTGGCTTTTGACCCCGTTGGGCTGGGAAGAGGTGACCACCCTGCTACAGTCCTATAAGATGCAAACAGAAGAGGCAGCAACTGGATATTTTACACTATCTAGCCTTACAAATCTTCAGTAGTCCTGATGCATCCTTATCTTAAAAGCACTGAACAGATGTGAACTAGGATGGGTAAATACCTGGTGTCCTGTGCTGTTTCCTTTACTAGAATAATGACAGTGTTAATTAATTATCTTAGGAAGTTCTCAACAAGATCTTATTTTGATATAATTTATTTATTTGAGGTGTTGTCTAGTGGCCTAGTTGGATGTTCTCTGCAGTTGAATGTGGTAGATTTGAGATATGTTCATATTCTCTGTCCCTCTCCCAGCCCACTGCTCAGATATTATAAATAATGTTGCCATTGTTAATATTAACACTAATAATAATATCGCTGTAGCTTTTATAGTGCTTATTAGATCGGAAAGTACCACCCAAAGTTCACTAGCCTGGAGCTATGTTATTATTGGCCATGACTTCATCAGGTCACATAAATTAAGAATAGTTGGACCTGGTCAGTACTTGGATCGGAAACCTCCAAGGAAAAAAGGAGTCAACAGAACCAAGTGTTATCTTTGGCATCTCAGACTGCAGCTGCTATTTCACCTCCTCCAGATCTGTGCACACTTTTCTCCCTCCCTTCCTCCCTCCTCCACACCCATTTTTTATTTAGAATTCTATCACTCTCCCCTCTTTGTATGTTGACTTAAATATGTATTTTTTAATTTAAGCTTTCTCTGAAAAAAAAGGTAAATATTATTTTTGGACTTATAAAATATCTCTCTCAGACATCCCTGGGCATCTGGACCAAGATTTCACAGCAATAAACATAACTTGCTGGCAAAAGTCAAACCAAATACATTCCTCCTATGACAGATTCATCATCACTACCATGGGCAATAACCAGAGTCAATATGCACACATCCGCAAATGCAGTAATAATCGTACGTAGCACTTCTGTGGTATGTTTCACAGTCAAAGCATTTTAAAACATTATCAGATTAATCCCCACAAAAAGGCAACATATTTGGCATTTGATCAATAAGAGAAGTAAATTCCAAGCTGACATCCCACTAGTCTCAAGCCGCTCTAGGGACGGCTAATGAAAGTACCCTCACATAATTTTAAATAACACAATTGTGCATAGAGAGGGAAACTGTTCCTAAGGTAGCCAGCCAGGACCTAGTCATTGTTGGACTTTTGTAGAATAATAGCACACCTTGAATCACATCGACGACTAAATAAGATACCCACACAATCTTTGGAGAGCATGTGCAGATTTTAATGTAAGATACATTCAAGGTAATTTAAATTTTCTTCATCCTGATCATGTGGGCCATTCACAGTTGTCACTTTAATCGATTATCCCTTCCAGATGAAGGATCTGTGCTAAGCAGTTGCTCCAAAGTGTGGTACACATTCCACTATGAGGCACCACAGTGTCAACAGCAGGTCTGTATTCAGACAGCCCAGCACCCAAAAGTCTTGAGGGGGGCAGATTATCCTTAAAGAGAACATGCAGTTAAAGTGGGTGCTGTTCATACAGTGTCCCACCTTTGAGCTGAAGCCACCATGATGAAATACTCTCTCATCTCTGTAGCTGGCTACTCCCAGATTAGGGTTGAACCATCTTGTGGGATATAATGGAGGCAGCTGGCAGTGTCACTCTATTCCGAGCCTGCAGGGTGGAGGATGAGAGTCTCCAGGCCTTTTGACCTGGCTCCTTTCTCCAGCACTAAATTCACATAGATGCATTTTTTAAGAGGTATCTCCCTGAATATTTGAGTGTGTCTGTCAAGTCATCCAACTCTTTTCTCTGATCACTGGTTAACAGAAAAAAGGTCCCAGCTGGGTGGCCCAGACCTACCAGCTTGAAAGGAAGACCTGTGCACCAACCCATCTCTGTCTGTTTTCACCCACTCATCCTCTTGTTTCTCAGTATTCAAAGATTAAACACACAAGTGTGGAAAAGGTCAGTGCTGGAGAGGGTAAGGTGAGCTGAGGAGGGAAGAATTTAAACTGTGAATATTACACGAGATAAGCAGGCTGGCTGGAGAACACAGCTTGATCCAAGGAATAGTCATGGCAACAGCTTCAGCAACAGTAAATTTTATTGACAGCGCACTAAAAACCCAGCAGGCGATACCTGTCAGATTTATTTCTGTACTGAAGAGGAGGAAACTGTGCAATTAATCAGAGGAGGAAATAAATACCACTTTTTTATCTCTCTGAGAGCATCTGTATAAAGCCATTTGTATATGCTAAGACCTCTTGGGAGCTTGTTGCATGCCAGAGGCTCAGCATATATTTATGATCTGATTCATCATTTACCTTTTTGAAAGAAGGGACAGTGAGTTAAAAATAACGTTTAATTTCTGCTGTGGAACGGAGGATTATAACGTTTGCATTATATAGCCTACACAAAACACATATTGTAGCTTTTGAAAACTGTCATGAAAACACACTGGACCATGCCCAAAACCTACCTGGTTACCCCACACTGTGATGAGGAAAAAACAATGGTATCTTATACATTTTATTTATTCACGTCTGTCAAAAAGTATTCTCCCAAGGCAAGTGAGTGAATAAAATTTTGCAGGGATGTATTAGAGCAAGATTAAGGTTAGATTTTTATCACCCCAAAATAGGAAATGATCATCCTCAAGGTAACCTGAACTGTGCCCCTGGAGTTATGTACATCTATAATTATAAGAAAAATTGTGTTGCAATGTAGTACTTGCTAGGAGAGGGTCTGTTTGTCCCAAACAGTGTGATCGTGTAACGAAAGCCTGCATGTCAGGGACAGAGTGAAGGTTGTTGCAGAAGTTCTACATTCCAGCCTTGTGTAGATGTTAAATCCCAGGCTTTTTTTATGTTTCAGCTGATGAGTTTTCAGCCCTCCCTTTTATGGTCTGGCAATAGCTGCTAATCTCACCACTTACGCACTTTATTAACGTGTAAAGAGTACGTTAAAAATAAACAGCCAATACATAACGCCATAGTGGCAAGAGTACATCAGACACAGTAAAATCTAATGTAGATGGTGCAGAACAGAAGAAGGTAGCCAAATGAGAAAATGTCAAATGAAAGATTGTTTGTGAGAAATCCGTTCCAGGAAGAAGTTGAACCAAGGACCTTTCGTATCCAAAGGTAGTGAGGTTACCTATTGAACCAAAGGAGAATGGGCTTTTTCTGTGAGCAGTAATCTCGAATGAGCACTTTTATGTAAAAGTTACTGCCCGAAGTATCAGTTTGTTAAACACAGCTGTTGCTGTCAAACACAACCAACAAAAATAGAACACCAGGTATCCTCTGATCACTCACCCAAGTTTTAACCAAACTCAAACTATTTTGCACTTTAAATCAGATGAGATTGGGCCTATTCACGTCTATATGGCAAGCGTCCAGGCATTGCACTCTTTTTCTCATAAATATCATAAAAACACAAGATCTAGTCCCTGAGTTTATTCTCAGTGAGATCTTTGTTTCAGTGACAAAAATAACTTTTGATTATTTTTCTCCCGGTAGCACTAACATAAACAATATTCTATGCCATTCTGAGCAGCATCAACAGACGTGTACTAAATTCCAAACAGCTACTCATGCAAACTCATCAAAAGCGCCGACGCCACCAAAGGCACGATTTGAAGGCACTGGGATTACACATGAGTAACTGAGGGCCTAATGTAGCTTTCAGAACTTTTATTACAGGTGATGTGTAAGAAGAGTATGTAACCCAGCTCAATTCTCAAACCTCAGGCCAAGATTCATGGAGGATTGGCAGTTGGAAAAAATTTCTTGACTTGTAAACTGAGTCAGTTTGATACAGAAATCAGAGAGACAAAATGGAGCCTCACAATGACACTTTTGCAGTCTCTTGCTGAGTCAGAACTGACGTTTGAATTGCAATGTATTGTCCCATAATGTATTAATGCTGGAATGCACTTAAATGTGAGTAGCACAGATTTTATCCCAGACAAAAATATCCTTGTTTAAACCAGAGTTAGTCATATGCTTGTATCAATAACATTAAGAGAGCAACCTTATTAGAACACTGAATGGACAAAACATTAAAAGACCGTGAAATACTAGTCTTAACTTCCAGTTTAAACAACTATAAACATTTAAAAGTATGGGAACTTCAAATTAACCTAGAATTTCCTGACCTTCTAATTTTTAATGTATTTTTAAAATACAGATACGAATTTATAACCTTAACTCCATCTTGAGTTTAAGTCAAAGGATTTGTACTTTTTTAATATGAACTGATCAATTATACCAGGATGATGCAACTGCGAATTGGAACCAGTGGAGTTTGTATGTGCGAGATGAGAGGAAACAGTCAAGGTCTGCTGGATTAATTGGTGCAGTTTGCAAAGTCCTTGCCCTTGGGTCTTATAAGTCTAATGCAGTGGGTGTGCATGTCTTGTGGGGGACTTCTCAGATGGACAGAGCTTGAAAGTTTACCCTACACATTCACACAAGGATAGGACCGCTGAGAGCTCAGTCCTTGAACTGGGCAGTTTTTGTAAACTTTCCAAAGTCCATTAGATCCAGGACTGAGTTTATAAAGGTTGCCAGAAGCTGCCAGAGCCTCATTTTTCCTTAAAAAGGTGTATATTTTGGAGAAGTGAGAAGAAACTTGCAAGCAACGCCAGACAAGCAAGTGGTGATAAGGATTTTCTGTGGCACACAGGAGTCCACACTGGCTTTTGACAAGCTTTCTGCAGGGTGAACCAACTCTGTACCTAGCACAGGATCAGGGATATAGTCGACTTTATAAAATTAATCTGGTTGCTTACTAAGTTTAAGTTTGCTAAAAGCTGACAGAGCACTCAGATGTTTCTATTAAGTGAAAAACTCCAAGGATAAGCATCCCAACTTCTCTGATAGAATCCACTGTATAAGATCTTATCACTTGCTCTTTAGTTAAACAAGTTTGAAATTTCTAGGCCAATCTGTATTTGGTAGTAGGATGTGACCATGCATTAAGAGCCTGATCCAGTTGCTATTGAAATAAATTGAAAGATTCCCTAAGACTTTTTTTTTTAATTGGCATAACTCCTGCTGAATCTGATGCTTCAGAAATAGCTTCTCCAGTTCGCCTTACATTTGTCAACTAATCTGTAGTCACAGGCCAAGTTTGTAAACTCTGCAGTGCATAGGACCTCTCTTGAGGAATTTGGGCATGGGAGAAAATTAGCTTTAGTATGGTAATATTGATACAACCTGAACCCTGGAAAAATTATCATCACTCCCTAGTACCACTAGCTTTTAAATCGTATAAAGACCTATATGTGTGACCAGCTGAAAAGTTAAGGATTATTCCCATAGAAAACTCACCCTGCGTGTAAGATTCAAACTATTTAGCATATATAAACTTGCTGTGTGTTATATATAGATATTCCTTTCCCGCTATACATTTAGGTGAGCGTTCCTTTCTGAACTCATCAGTTCAAATCTACAGAAGTGCATTTCAGCTATTTTATTTGTTTCAGTCCATTTCTTGAGAGCTAGCTACAGATGTAAATTAAAGCAGGCTTTGAGTTAGTTGAGCATAAGTGTTTGAACAAATTCTTGAGTTGAAAATGTATCTTTTCTTGTCTGGATAACCCCCAAATTGGCAAATGTATCTATGAAACTTGCCAATACATTCCCTTCACTGCTGGTAAAAAAGCATGAAAGATTTCAGGCTAAAAGATCATCTTTTACAAAAAGGTTCCTGGAAAAATTGGGTTGAGAATGGCGGGAGTGCCTTCTCAGCCTTTAACTATAGTGTCAGTACCTAGAGGCTATAATCAAAGAGCTATGCTTGTTGTATCTTTCACTTACAAAGTCAAGCCTTCTCCTAACAAGTAATTAGGTGAATTCTTAGTGGGAATCTCAAGCAAAACCAGTGAAAATTTCATGACGGAAACCTTGTAATGTGGAATTAAAGATGGGATGGCTATCAAAAGGGGTCATACTGTTATGCATGTTTGTTTCCCACACAGTGATTTACAGACTGTGCTATGAGAGTAGTGGGGTTGATAGTTATTCTCATGCTGTTACCTACAGTTTTTTTGCCCATCCGCCCTATACACACGTGCGGACACGTCCTGTATTCGTGTGATACTACTGCCTAAGATCCTGGCAAGGGTATGTAATTGTGCACTGCTCTCTGGCTGTCCTTATCTTTATATGTACCATGATGGCCTGATAATTCTAGGACTGTGTGCATATTCTTTTCAACATTCACTGATTGTCAGGCAAAAATGGAAAAAGTAATAGATTTCCCCAAATCTTCCTGCCAGCTCCCCACCAAGCAACAAAACTTCCCAGCAGCAATACCACCCCCCTTACCATCAAGAAATGATCTCCCCATATGCTGGCCCTGCCAAACCATCTCTCACACCCAAATCCTCAAGAGAATGTGACATGATCCAGATCTCTACCTTCTTGCTGAACCCACTTGCACTTAGATACTGTGATAATGAGTATCCTATAAGAACCTAGAGCAGTGGTTCTCAGCCTATTTACTATTGTGGGCCACATATGCACCTCTCTTCGTTATGTGGGCCGCATCCACACGATATATGTACTACCTGTATGGCCCTGAGGATGTCACATGGGCTGCAGCTGTGTGCTGATTGGGCTGCCCGCATGGTTGAGAACCACTGACCTAGAGAGACAAGGTGAGTGAGATAAATGTATAACCTTGCTAGATGCTCAAATTCATAGTCTTAATAGAGACACTGGATTTATGGCTTATTACAATAATCTGTAAACCACTAATTCCCCTTTTTGTCCTGTGACTACAAGGGTGTTAACGGGCCACTTCACCTTGACTGGTTTCAGAGTAGCAGCCGTGTTAGTCTGTATCCGCAAAAAGAAAAGGAGTACTTGTGGCACCTTAGAGACTAACACATTTATTTGAGCATAAGCTTTCATGAGCTACTGAATGCATCCGACGAAGTGAGCTGTAGCTCACGAAAGCTTATGCTCAAACAAATTTGTTAGTCTCTAAGGTGCCACAAGTCCTCCTTTTCTTTTCACCTTGAATGGTTCCTTAAAATATGTGCTAACTACAGATGCTAAACTATCTGTTCAATCTTGTACTTGGCTATGAGCACCTTTTCCAGACCTGAAGAAGAGCTCTATGCAGCTCCCAAGTTCGTCTCTCTCAACAACAGACGTTGGTCCAATAATAAGATGTTACCTCACCCACCTTATCACTGTAATATCCTGGGACCGACACAGCTACAACAACACTGCATATAAGAACCTAGACAGATCTCCACAACTACCCTTCCTCTGACTCCCCTTCATTAACAGGAACTGGATCCAGTACCTTTTCGCTGTTGGATCTACCTACAGCCTCTGCATCAAGCTCCTTTGACCTGATCCACTATTTCTAAAATAGTGCAATGAAAAGTTGAAAGCAGAAGGGGAAAATATGGTTTCCATTACACGTACTATAGTTTGTACTGAAGTTTTTGTAAGCCATATATAAACTCAACTAAGATGCATTGTTAATATACTTCTCTGTCTCGTTTTTATTCTTTACAGTAGTTCAGAATCCGAGATGGAGGAGGAGGAGGAGGAGGAGGAAGAGGAACCCCTGCAGCCACAGCTACCCACCTCAGACCTGGGAGGTGTGCCTTGGAAAGAGGCTGTGCGAATCCATGCCCTTCTGAAGGGAAAGAACGAGGAAGAGCTTGAAAGTCAGAAAAACCACAAGGCTGAAGACAGGGAAGAGGAGGGGGAAGAAGAGGAGGACACAGAGTCTAGTGAAGGTTAGAAAAAGATCGGTTTGTATTTTCCTTCTGCTATGAGCCAAGTACCTCTGTTCAGCACAGAGTGGTGTTAGACAGGCACCCCTATGATGAGATGAGTTAGATCGTACCTTATTCTTCTCAGGAAAACCACTGAGGGCTGATGGGGAAGCAGTGAATCGAGGTGGGATGGGAGAGGTTCTTATGAGGGTATATTGATGGAAGGGAACCAGTGGAGGAACCGAGTCAAAGGGCACATGCACGCTGCAGCTGGGAATGTGCCTCCCAGCGTGGGTAGTTAGACGGGCGAGCTCTGCTTGAGCTAGCAGATGAAAAATGGCAGTGTAGTCGGGGGTAGCACAGGCGGTGGCTTGGGCTAGTTGCTCAGGCTAGTTGCTTGAGTACGTACCTTGGGAGAGGGGTCTGGGCAGGTTTGGCAGCTAGCCTGAGCTGCAGCCCATGTTACCCCCGGCTACACTGCTGCTATTCGGGCAGAGCAATGCGTGTCTGTCTGTCTGCGCTGGGAAGTGCAATCCCAGCGTCAGTGTGGACGTACCCAAAGAGCATGTCAAACCAAAGGCCTTGTCTTTCATATCAGTTTTTTTTTTCTTTTTATCTTTGCATTTACCATTGCTTTGTATTTGTAAGTGAACTTAGTGCAGATAAATGATGCTGGGTTGACCACATCAGGGACAGAAGATCTCTCTCCACAGGGCAGTTAGAGCACTAGTAACAGCACAGTACACTTCCCATATACGGTTATAACAGTGGGCCTCAACCAACCACAGTATCTTACCCCGCTCCCCAGTATAGCCTGATGAGAGAGATGGGTTTAATTCTTATCTCCACTTGCTCTGGACTCAGTATTCTGACTGGATCAGTATAGTCCCATGTTTGGTTCAGAGTGCTCGAAGGGGGGCACTTTATGCCTGAATGCAGGGTGCAGCCAGAAGATACTTTCCCCTGGGTGGAGCGTACTTGTACTCTAATGGTCTAACCCACGCAGCTAATCCTCTTGCTGGTTCTCCTCTGTGTAACTCTCAGCTTTGTGACAATTGTGCTATTTTCTCACCGGTTTGTAGAGGAATCCAATTTGGGTTTGGCCCTCTGTTCTCTGGCCGGCAAGGTCTGGGGGCGCTGCGCAGGCAGCGCATTCAGCCTTGAGGAGGAGGAGGGAGTGCCTCACATCACCCAGCAGTAACCCCCTATGGCCAATATTAATGGGACCCCAGGAGAAGTATCCAGCTCTCCTAAGTCAGCAGGAGACTCTACACAATATGCAGCCTGAGTTGAACCCCTGTGCTCTCCAGGATGTTTTTATTCCAGCTCTGAGCGTTTCTTTATGAAAAGGGGTGGGGGGGAGTTATGGAAGGATTTCCTCCCCTGCACCTCTTTAAGTCATAACCATACTGAGCTTGTTCTGGAAATGGGTATCTTTGCCGTGCTTTACCGCCATTCCAAATGGTGACGGGATCTTATCTTTCAGAACATGACTTGGGTACTTGCATTTCCCCTTTGCTTTCATGAGAGCTACCAGACGACAAAGACCTGCTTCATAAAGGCCATTGGCCATGTAATGTTGAAAGTATGAGGAGAGGTCCACTTATGCTGGGCCTCGGAGGCAATCCTGTTCAGGTGTCATTTCGTGTGGGAGATGGCCTTTTAACTAGGTGGTTTGTCTATATTTTTCCACATGGAAACTGGAACTCCATAGGTGAAATCTCTGTCAGAACCAGGACCACAGTTTAAGTATAGTAATATGCATGTTGTTTGTCAGTCTACTAAACTGTGACGTTCCCAGACCTCTGTCCAGTGGAGTTTGCCTATCAAACAGGGAGCTTTGATGAGTACTGTAAGTCTTACTGGATTTCCAGACAATAACTTTTTGCTTTCTGATTCTCTGTCCTTTCCCCCTCTCTGTATTATTTGTGTGTGTGCATCTGATGCTATATGTGGGGGTGTGGCTCCCCCTGCTGTAGAGGGAGAGTATTACCCATGGGCAAGAGAGCTCCAGCAAGGCCTCTGGCTTCAACGTCTCTCAAATGAAGAGGACACGGGTACTTTTAAAGGTACCCTTGTACCTTCACCACTTTCGTTTGCCCTCAGGCGGGTCTGACATTTTAAAGAGCAGGTCCCACATGAAAAGATTTTCTGTTTTTAGTAAATTGCATTTACCAGCGCTCTCGAGTTTGATTCAGGAATTACGGATCCTCTCGTGATCCAAGTATGGGCACTGCTTGGCTGTATCACATTTTTTACCGTTCTTTGTGTGGGAGGGTTGGGAAAGCTAGATTGACTCCAGAGAGCACTGAGACACTTCAGATTAATTTCAGGAATATTTTACATTTGCTTGATCACTTCCTGCTTGGCTAGATGCACTGTTTCCCATAAGGCACTTTGTTGCCATTTTTGTTTTGATGGTTATTTTCCTGGAGCATTGGGCTACAACAGGATGTTCATTCCTGCTACTTTGACATTGCTCATATGAGCCAGGATATGTGAGACTAAAGGCTGAGTTCTTTCACCCAAATGAATGGGTGCACCGGAGAGCCAGCGTTGCATGTCTTTTTTTTTTGTAGCTTATTGCTAGTAGAATATACCTCCTTTATTTTATATTTCCTGTTTTGCCTGAAACTAACTTTTTTAGTAATTTAATGCAACATATGCGTCATTCTGAAAGATTTCATAGGAGCATAAGAGAAAAAAATCATATAGGAAAATATCAACATTTTTCTTTGCTCTTTTGAAAATATACATACAGTATATATAAATATCTTTTGTTCCTAGCCTTTCTAGCCGTTGTTCCATCATTTGCCCTCCCCCTGGAGTCTAGCTGAGCTTTGAGCAGAAGTCTGGGTCCCTTGGCCACTTTCAACACTCACTTTCTATCAGAAAAGTTCTGTTTGGAATGTTAAATCGCCCCTGATTTAACATTTTTGATGGTGAGAATTGAAGGTAGCCAGATGGCCAGAGAGCACAGGCACGTAGGGGTGACTGCTGCCTTTTTCCTTAACTTCCACTCTTCTCTATCCTAGCAGCTGTCCCACTTTAATTTTGGTTCCCAGAGAGCAGGTTTGGGAACACTGGAACAGCTTCCAGTTAAACTTTTGAACTACAAAGTTAAATTGTGAGAGAGCCCAGCCACTCCTAAAGTGCTGTTGACTGCGGCAGTGAAGCTAGAGGGGGAAACACGCTGTTCTGGAATTCACCGAATTATCTTTTCATGTAACGGTGAACTAAAGGGTCCAGCTTCCTGTGAAGCTTAGTGGCCAGCCTTGGGGGAAGCCACAGCAGCAGCCATTTGAAATCCTTCTGTAATATTTTGTGGCTCACCTAACCTAGTGAGGGGTTCTGTTATTGCCTGCCGTGTAACCTTTGGTGCCTTAATGGTGTGCTGCTGTGGCTCAGAGACCTGACACCACTAGCCAGCCTGCAAGCATAAAGGTCTCACGCTGGCTTCCGCCAGCCTAGTTTCTTCTTGTGGGGTGACACCGACAGCCCTTCCAGTCCCGTGTCTCCCCATAAATTCATAATCACAGTCTGTATACATATTTCATGATGACCATCAAGTACAAAACCTTACCAGCTTTCACAGAAGACCTAACTCAACATATTTTATAGCACTGTAACATTGTATACAGTCGATTCAAGGGCTTATTTTTTGGGGTTCCAGACCCCCGTTCTCCTCTTGGGTTGTCTGGACTCTGATTGTCACACCTTCAGCCTGCATTCACGTGGTCAGACATCAGAGAAACACTAGGTTTGCCCTCTAGCCAGCCCCCAATACTTCACAGGTGGCTGGGCTCTTTAAAGTTTTACATTATTGAGAAAGCTGAATTGGGGTCTGCTTCTTAAGTAAGGCCTGGTCTACACACACAGATGTGCAGGTTTAAATAAAGGAGTAATTTTGATACCAATATGCTTAAACTGGTACAAGTTTGTCTTATATTAGTTTAGTTTACACTGGTAAATGTACAGGAGCAAGCTACATTGATATAGCCTGTTTTAAACAGATATGACTGTGTATTCACACTGGAGTTTGCATGGGTTTAACTAAACTGACTTTTAAATTAATGCAGTGTCTGTGTAGACAAGCCATAAGAGTAAAATGTAAAGCAGCATGCAAAGTGCTGCAGGTGAGTTGGAGCCAGCGGGTGCAGGCTATGGCTGCATTTGCAGTGAAAGCATGTCATTTCCATCTGGAACAAAAATCATTAAAATTAAGGGTCTCTCTGTATTCTCCAATTTCATTTCCTTAATGGGTTTATGGCTACTGTAACAAACACATGCTATCTATTTTTAGCTTCTCGTGCTGTATAACCTGACCACTAAAAACCTGAGATCTCAGATCCTCCTGCTGTAAATGACAGACTCCTAGCACTTGAAATAAAGGAGAATCTATTTGCTGTAGTAGTACAGAGCCGGTGACACACACTTGAGCAATACTGATTCCATCCAGTGAAAGGTAGTGGTAGCATATAGGGTAGCAAGCACATTACAATACCTATTGTGTAAAAGGAATAATCAGGTAATAAAGTTAGAGATGTCAGGCCTGTGTCTGGTCCAGTTTCACATTCTGATTGGGCCTTTCTTTGGTGATGTCATACCTGTTTAAGTCCCCGACAGTCAGGATACAAAGCCATATTATAATGTGGAATAAGTCCTGCAGATCAAGTGGGACCTGCTCTTTGTGAGACTTGTTGAGTGTCTATATATTTTTTTCCCACTTCCAGCTGTTGCTGGTAATCCTCAACCTTTTAACTCAGCTGTGTGGTGTGGTGTGGTGTAAACACTAACTCTACTGATCTCAGAGTCTGCATGTGGGAGTATTGGAATACAAGTGCAATGAGGAAAGATCAGACTGCTCCATTTGTTGGCCAGTGACTTGGGCCCTATCAGCCACTCCTGAGTATTCTCTTGTTCCCTCCGGATGTCCAATAGTTCTGGTAGGATCGTGTTTTGTGCTGATTGTAAGAGGAATCGTTACACTGAGAAAACTCTGAAATACAGATTAAAATTGAATCCCATTCCCTTTGTGTGCATTTCTCTGCTTTCTTTTGTCCCTTTGACTAACTACCAAATAATTTTGTGCTAGATTAGATAAGTGCTTCTTCCCTCAATATCAGTTTTCTCCTACGGTATAGTGCCAAGTGTGATACCACAGTCATTTCTGAGGCTGAAGTCCTAATTTATGATTCCACAAACAGGCTTTCTGTGGGTTATTCTAGTGTGTGACAGTCCTTCCTTGGTACATTTTTGACAAATGCCTAGTTCCAGGCTTCTCAGATGGAGCCTAGCCTGTTGCCGTACATCATGGACAATCTGCAGTCAGTGAAGGTTGGCTCATTGCTGTGCAGAGACAGATGGCTTGTTGCCCTGTGATGTGAACGGCTGTGTCTAGTGCATGCCAATGCGTGGGGAGTGGTTAGTGGAGAAAACAGCTTGCCAGAATATAAAACCCTGCAATCTGTGGCCAGATCAGCCATGGAGAATCCTGTATACCTTGCTGCAGGAAAATGGCAAGGAGAACCCAAGATCAAATTTCCCAGGGTCCTTCGCACCACAAAGAAACCAACAATGAAGGGGAAATTAAGAGAATTGCTACCAGGGTGGATGACTCAAACTGTCTAGTTGAAAACCTTGAAATACACACCTACTAAAGCGGTTAGCCATATGTACCTACACTTTTGTCAAAGGAAATCCCCTTCGAAGGAGAGAAGAGGTTATTTTCATTATTTTCAATTAGAATGCTGATATTACTTGTAAAATGACGCTGCCCCCTGAGCACCCACTCACTACTCCAACAACACAGCTAGGATGCTCTGAATAAAGTCTTGTATACCTTAAACTGAGCAAAAATCCAATGGGATAATATAAGGCTACATGCAGCTGGTCAGTCTGATGGTAGCCGGCAAAGAGAGACGTTATGGTTTCTCTGTTGCACATGTGGGTGAAAAGTTGGGATTCAAACCCCCAAAAGTTCACTTCCACAATGTTGAGGGCCACTGAGAAGTGAATGGATCCTTTGTTCTGTGGAATTTAGCCCAGAGTGCAGATTATCCCCATGCCTTTTGCCAGCAGGATACAGAGGGTAATACTCATTTTGAATAGGCTGAATAAGGCTGAAATTCCTGCTAATTGATCACCTACCAAATCTCAGTTGGATGCTCAGTGTGTCTTCCATTGCCAGGGTGCTGCTTGCAATAGAGGTAGTGTGCCTTTGGGCTAGCGTTATTCAGCTTCAGGGTGGAGCAGGACTCTGAGGATTATGAATGGTTGTGTGTTTCTAGATGCATGCACACATGATGCAAAGCTTTGTCTGTCTGTCTGGCAAACTGATCTTGGCAAGTAATATTTTCTTTTTTCTTTCCTTATATTTCCTTTCCTGTGGTGTGTTTTCTTTCTCTTCCTCTTTTTTTCCTCTCTCTTTCCACCCTATCCTGCTTCCCTTCCCACCCACATCCTGATCTGCCTCATCCTCGGTCTGCTAGCTGGAAACCTGAGGCTACAGCAGATTGTAAATCCGATAGATCCCCTGGAGATCCTGGCAGATGTGCACTGGACACACATCCGCGAGAAAGAGGAGGAGGAAAAAATGGTCCCAATTTCAAAGTCCTCCACCTCCAGAGGTAATCTCCTGCTGCATCGATCCCCAGATCACAGTTGCAGCTGTTTAACTCTGTTGCTTCTGCTTCTTTCAAGCGCAGCCTTCTTCAGATGGGTGAACAGTGATTCAAAGGCTCTGCTTCCTGAAACTAAACACTAGTTTAAACTTCTTACTTTTGAGGTCGGTCTCCATTTAAGTCACTGGTTTTCTAAGTCAACACAGCAGAGTGAGCTCTCCTGTCTTGTATATCTAATTAGACTCTGTGTAACATTCTGCTACAGGATGGGAATCATTTGATATTGCAGGTTGCAAGCCCCTGATAACAGATTTAAAGTGTCCTGGACTTGAGAGGAAACAATTCAGCCCGTTGTTCCTTCAAGATAGGGGTGATGAGGAGTCCAGGCCTTGGAAAAACAAAAGAAACTTATTCTGAAGGGTTGAACAGTTTTCTCTTCTACATTGAATATATTCTGCTGCTGTTTTTCAAACTTTGTATCTGCATCTGGCAGGGGCATGATATCTTCAGGAAATGGTGAAGAGCACAGCAGGCCCAAGGAGCCAGCCAGTTGCTGTTTGGCTCTTTGTATTGAGATTTGACAGTATTTTTTTTTTTTTTTCTTCAGCAAAGTGAGTCACCATTTCAAGATGCCATTTTGCTTATAAGGTCACTTTGGAGAAGGAAAAAAATAGAGAATGCTAGTACCCTTTCCAACATCTCTCATAAATCTCATTGTGAATCACCTTCCACACTATTCCCACACTTGGGACTGTGATCTTGTCAGATGTCTTGAGCTAAGCAGGGTGGGGCCTACTTTCCTAGTATTGAAGAGCTGTAAGGAAAGCCCAACTGTCAACAAAACCAAAACTTTGTGGTGTTTGATTCAGTAGTTGGTAGTCTTCCCTCCAAGTCTGTACCAAACCAGTCTCCCAGAATGATCTTAGGAGAACTGTGTTGCAAGAGGTGCTGTCTTTCGAAGGAAATTTAAGACCAAAGTCCTGATTGCTTGTGGGTATTAAAAATCACATGGTACTTGTTGTAAGAGCTGGGCGTCTTAACTCTTGTTCCCTAGCCAAATTCTTTCCAGGTAACTATCTTCTGCCTAAGGTTCCTCTGTAGTTTCAGCTGGGAGTGGTTTTACTGCCTGGTGTCTGCATTTATTATTCAGTGCTGCATTTCACCCCAAAGGTGGCTACATTTCAGTGGTGGGGGAAGTTATTCTAATAAATATAGTAGCTTGTAAAGTGCTTTGGGATTCTTTGAAGTGAAAGGTGATCTATAAAGATAGATCATTATTTCCCTTCTCCCACAGTTATACAAACACAGGCCTCAGTGTTATAGCATTAAACATTCCTGACCAATGTTGCTTGAAGTTTAAGAACCCTGAGTAAGTCCTGACATTGTTCCTCAAGTTTACCATATTTAAGGTGAGTTTAGCTTCCACTGATAACAGAAGTGACCACAAGTCAAGGGTGCTGCCATTTCTGTTTTCCTTTTAGCTTATATTTTCTCTTCTTATTTTTCCTACATGTTTTTCTTTGTGCAAACAAAGAGAGGTTAAAGCAAAAGTCGATCAGAAGGACTTTCACTCACTCCAGAATTGTGAGCTACCAGTGTCCTGTTTCTAAATCCCAACTCCTCTCTCTCTGGCACAGCTGCCTCCATGATATACTGTTACAGTTGTCCGTAGAGTGAAGGAAAACCTGTGCTGACCCTTTCCCATGGTGCGGACAATCCCTTCCGTGGCATTTCCAATTTCCTTCAGGAAGCAGGAAATCTTTCCTTCCCCAAAGAATAGGCCAAACTGAGAGCTGGATGTTCACGGACCCATAACTTAGATGCTTCATTGCAATAATCAAGGTTTATTCAACAGTAGTAGCAGCTTCTAAAGGGGCTGATGCAAGGTGTGGCTGTGTGGATGCTCCACAAGTTTCATTGGTCAGTTTGACAGACTTCAAGTATCTGTTCATGACTGAGCAGTGTCCTACCACATGTGCTGTTTAGAGAGCACTTCAAAACCACTCTCTGGAGTTGATGGTTAGATCTAAAGGAGCAGGACAACATGCTGATACCCAGGAAAGATGTGTTCGGTGAGCTCTCATGCTCTACTAGGAATTCTCCCTTGCCTTGTAAGCATCCAAACCTAGGCAATATAGTCTGAAATCAATACAGCCTTTGGCTTTTGTTAGCACTATTTGTGTGGTCATACTTCATCTTCTGGCTTCTCTTGCCAGCTTGACCAAAATGGCTGGAATCTGCAAACAGGACACTGAGGACATGTTCAGCTCTCACTAACACCCTTATCTTCCATGGATCCTAAAAGCAGATTTGGTATTTACACCTCATTATCCTAATTTAACCCTCAAATCCAATCTCCATCATCTGACAAGGTCTAGGTTTTATTTCTGCTCTTGGTTTTGAGGAATTTCTCTCTAGTGTTTCAATTTCATACACTTATTTGTGTCTAACTTTTGATTTACTATCATTATTTATTGTTTTTTAAATTCAGCATCCGACCTTCCCTCCGTACGCCGTGAGGCGGTGCAGGCATGGCTGGAGACGGTCTCTGGAGGTAGTTTGGTGATATTCGTTCTCTACCAATTCAGAATAACCCTGCCCGCCCTCCTTCCATGCCTTCAGCAGCTGAGCTGGTACCTTAACACTGGATCTATGGCCCTGTTGCTATTGCATGACCAGGAGGGGGGAGTGTGCATGCATGCCTCGCTCACAGTCCATTCTTGCATGAACTGGGCTTTCATCTTACCCCTTGCAAAGGCAGGCAAGACAGAAAAGAACATCTTCTGTGTAAATGGAGAAGAAGAAAGTAGCTTAACGTTTTGATTTGGGTTATAAACTGAGGAGTAATAGTCATCCTTCCCCACCCCTTGACAAAGGGATCTTGGTGCTTGCTTGAAAGTGAAGAGATTAGGGAGAGTGTTTCAAGCAGTGTCTGGAGCAAATTACAGCTTCCTGCTGAAGAGACCAAGAAAGAAGATGTCAATTAAGCTAAAGCCAGGGACACTTTAGAGCCAGGAGTGACTATGGAAATAGCCATGCTCCACAAACCTGAAACATGTTGCCCATCCAAGCACCAAGGGAGTGGAAAGATGCTAAATGTCAGCTGCTTTTCCTAGGTGGTTCCCTAGAATCTCTTACAAAATCAGGGAGTGTGGAGATTTGGGGCAGGGAGGTGTTAAATTCTATAAACCACAAAAAGGGTCTAAAAAAATACAGTAGAACAGGGGTAACTTGTGTGACGTCTAGCTGAGTTGCCCTTGCAAACAGGAGTAATTAGCGCACCTCTGAAACGTTGCTTCTGTAACTGTTTTGGCAAGGCAGCAGCATTTACTGGATGGCTGCACATCACCCCATCAAGTCCTTGCTGCTGGCCAACATGGACAGACTGCTGAATCTGTCGTTTCTGGCTGCCATAGTGTACAGCTCACTGTTTACTGTTTGGCGACTCTTGTCCTCTTGCTCCTCATCCTAACTGCACATATGTATATGCACAGTATATGTATAACTATAACCAGCCACCCTCTTATCCTGTCCCCCAAGCTCCGGGTCCTTCAGAATGGGCTGCCCACCAGTGTGTTACTTATCTATGCATCCATAAAATATGCTGCTGAATTTTGTGTTTTTAAGGTATTGTAAAGAATTTATTTTCGTCTGTTAGATCCTCGCTATAGGACACTGCACCACAATTTCCAAATGGAAGAACCAACATACACATAGCCAGGCCAGTGTCAGATATTCACCCATTTGAAGGTGACACTTTTACACATTTTGTGACAGTGGCTCACATTTGATGTTTTTACCTAAAACAAGTTACTGTGGCATTACTCTTTCTAAAATGGCAGTAGCTGGTACACACCTAAGCAACAAGCAGGTCAGTAAAGCATCAGTGTGAGAAGGAGGCAGGGGGACTGGTTTAGTTAAGAACATCTTTAGATGCCCAGCCCTTACAACTGTGACTCGGCCTTCGTGTTGCAGATCTGTAAGATTCTGTGTATTACAAAGCCTGTGGTTTAAGGGTACAGGCCATGTCATGCCACACTGCATTTTAGGTGATGGCACAGCATCTTGTAACAGCAGTTTAAAAAATATGCAAGCCATGTGCCCCTCCACTGCCATGATGCTACAAAGGTGGAAAAAGTGACATAGAAGAAATTCTCAGGTTGAAGGGGCAGGACAAGCCTTGTTTCAGTGGAACAGACTGTCAGTGTCATGCTTTGAAGACCAAGGAAGCAAAGAGCCTCTACTAGAAAAAGAGACTATCAAAATGTGTGTGGAAAATGTCAAGATGCCAGCTCACTCTTTCTTAGACTGTCATGATTAGTAGTGTTGAAATTTAAATGGTCCCAGGTAGGCTATGAAATGAGCACTGGCATCTGTTTACATCATTATGGGGCCAGAATTTTAGCATTGTGTGCATATAATTTGCCGCATGATTACTGAGAATGTATGCTCATTTGCAATAATCAAGCATTCAACAACCCAGTTAAATGTCTAACGTCATTTGAGCCTGCAGTTGTGCTAATTATATGCACAAAACCAAAAAAGGAGCCCAGGTTTGTGCAGTCTGCTGGTGCTATAGTTAAAGCTAGAAACTCCTTTAAAACAAAAAAAGATTCTGCCTGAAGTTATGGAAGGACCTTGAAGCTGTGTGACCAACACCCACGCATAATAACTGAGATGGGATAAGGTGTAGCAATGGAGAGAGTTGTAGGAGTCTCTTGGTTTTTGTGAAATATCATTTAGTAATGTGAATTAAAGCCCATCCTGGTGGGGCCTCATGCTCCCCTCTGGAATTAAATCCTTTTATGTGTAATGTTGTCAAATGCCTTCTTTGGGTTTATAAATTCATGAATCTTCCCTTCAGACTGATCTTGTAAAGCAGATTCTGGGCTCTGGCACACAAGAACAAACTTCTTATGTGTCTGTTGTTCACATTAAAATATCTGAATACATCTGGGCCCTGGGTATCTGCACTGCTGTCTGGACTCCACCAAACGGTTTCTTCTAGAACGTTGCAGCCGCACAGAGTTAAACAGTTTCCAAATGGTCAACTCTCCTGGCTAATCCCTCCTGGCAGGTCACCTCATCTGACTTCATGTCCCTCAAACTTCTTTGTTTCCGCTGCTAGGCAAGTTATTGTGGCAGAATAGGAGATTGCAGTTTGCAACTAGCACACATCCTCTAAAATGTTGGTAACTGCAGTTCCTTTGTGGTACCAATACTATATTGGAGCAACAGCTGAGCGTATTCCATTAGAGCTTTCTCTGACACCCTCATTTAATGTCTCACTCAAGCATGCCTTGGTTGCCGAAGTGGAGACGCTGGTACTTCACGAGGCCAGTCCCTCAAACGTGCCTTGAAAACCTTGCAGTGCCAGTGTCTGTGACAAAGCTTCCTCAGAGGCACAAAACCTCTTGACTACTCAGACTCAAGGCTTGAAATGCCAGCTGAGTGTCTTCCCCTGCTGACGCACCTCAGAGCACCTTGTTGGAGAAACAATGAGTAAATATTGGCACTCAGGGCACTTGGTGCAGTTTAAAACTGTTTTCTATTGTATAGATTGTTTTTCCTTCCTCTCTCTCTCTCAATGTTTTAATGCATTCCAGCCCCATTTGAGGAGAATGAAGTGGAGGATGAGGTGGGCACAGAGCCAGCAGATACAGAAGGGGAAGCAGGCGAAGATGGAGACACAGGTGCAGAGCTGGATGATGGTACGGTACCACAGTGCATCATTAAACTTTGTTATGGAAGCAGAGTCATGTTGGGACGCAGGTATCTTGTGTAAGGGTGATCCAGTCAGAGCAGATCTGTATATGTGGGAGCTCAGTGCAGAAGAGAGAGAAAAATTGGATTGAAGTGTGAAATGGAACTGAAGAACTGTAGTGCCATGGATTCTGGAAGACATTGCTTGCAACCACTCTGTTTGTTAGAAGGCTCAGTCTTATCACAGAATCATAGGAATGGAAGCGACCTCAAGAGATCATCTAATCCAGTCCCCTGCCCTCATGGTAGGACTAAGTATTGTCTAGACCATCCCTGACAGGTGTTTGTGTAACCTGCTTTTAAAAATCTCCAAAGATGGAGATTTCATAACCTCCCTAGGCAATTTATTCCAGTGCTTAACCACCCTGACAGGAAGTTTTTCCTAATGTCCAACCTAAATGTCCCTTGCTGCAATTTAAGCCCATTGCTTCTTGCCCTATCCTCAGAGGTTAAGAAGAACAATTTTTCTCCTTCCTCCTTGTAACAACAGCAGTCCTTACTCTCATTATAGTCCTTCGGAATGAAGAAGTGAGTGTTCATGTGGGAAAAGGCTGTAGGACTGACCCAAAGCCTTCTCTTCCCAGCATGAAAGAAACTGCACATATTAGGAGATGTAGGAAAATTTCCAGCATAACTGTGGAAAGCATGAAACAAACTAGAGAACTTATTTGTATCACATTGGTAACTAATTAAAGTGACCCCAGTTAGCATGTAATGAAGGAATAGACGATTTAGGTGCTGGGGTACCACAGTGAATGGCACCCTGTGAGAAGGTAGATAGGATAATCGAAAGATTTAGGAAACAAATGGCTGTCCTTATGGGTTTGCGTCCAAGACCTCTTCCTTTCTGTGTCATCGTCTTTTTCCCACCCAGATCAAAGATGGTCAGATGACACCCCACCTGATGCAGAAGATGAGTGTCACTTACCTCAAGGGGACATGGAAGAGCCAGAATTGAAAGTTTCTGAGGATGAGGGTGAGCGAGAGGCCACAGCTCCCTGCTGTCTGACAGAAGGTAAATACTTAATCTCTGTATCTTGCAGTCCAGGAAGACTGATCGTTTCTTTGAATTGTCCAACTGAGCTGTTGGTGAAAGCAATCTCTTCAATTACATTTGAACCATGCCAATAGTCTCAATGCCTTGCATGTGTTTGCATTTGTGTTCTGAGAAAGGTGTTGTGATACCACATCTTCCCAAAGCGGAAGGGAACCCACAGAACCAGTTGTTCCCTCTCTCAGCTCCCTATGGGTGCTTTTGGGCTAACTGCCTGTGTCATTAGGGTCACATACAGATTCTCAAACAGACTCCAGAGGGCTCATCTAGAATGTAAAGGGCTAGTGATTTGTTCACTGTTTACTGTGCTTCACATGGATTTAGAATGTTAAAAGGCTTGTTTATGGGTTTTTTTTAACGGACTCTCCATTTCCCCTAGATCCATGCAAACCCTCCACCCCGATCTGGTCACCCAATGAGACTGCTGTTCCTCAGTCCCCAGTTGGTAGTCCCAGTGCAGAACAAATAGAGGTAAGAGTTTCTGGTGCTGTTCAAAGCTATGTTGATATTGATTAAGGGACTGTACTATCTAGATTAGTAGAACAGCTTGTATGACAGAGTGATAGTTTTAGCTCTTTTTTCTTATCTAGATAATGTACATTGTCCTCTGACTTCTTGAGACCTAGTTTCATTTAGATTTTAGAAGAAAACAAGCCACTTTTTGAAGAAGTTCACGGTGCAATGGCTGATCAGTAGTACAAGTCTCTAAATCTAAAGGCAAAGAAAAAGTTATTTTTAACTGTTGTATCCTTTGTTTTTGTGATTATTTACTTGCTAAATTGCCAGTGCGGTTTGATTTAGATTCCCTAGCCAAAACTTAAATTGTGAGATCAGGCTGGTTTGTTGACAGCATTCATACTGGAAGGGAATGGAGTGAATTCCTCTTGTCACTTTTAATTGTGCTATCAGACACATTTATTTGTTTTATAGTAAAGCTGCAGTCAGGATCCAGGGCCATTTTGTGCTAGGTGCTGTCCAGGCTTACAGGTAGACAAGGTCTCTGCCTTGAAGATCTTGCATAGTTTTGAAAATAACATTTTCTGCAGCTGACACTCTTCAGATAGTAAATCTCTATGGGGAAATGTCAAAGGCTTAAACTCTATAACATAATACATTGCCTGGGTGACGTAGCAATCTAGTGGCAGCAGGTCCAAGTGAAATCTAAGACTCCTCAGATGATTAGCGGCTGGGAGCTCTGCAGCACCCACGTACTGAGCCCCAAACTAAGGAATGCCTCATGCCTTTGAGAAACAACCCTACCCTGGCCAAAATGTGGAATAGGTATGGAGGAGCCTTCCCCTGATGGGGGGGCCACTCGGAGCGGGGAAGGGGTAAAGCGGAATTGGGTATTCTGATATGTACTTCCCTTCTTTTTCCAAAATTAAATTTGTCGTTTCGACTTGCAGAATAGACAGCTTACAGAGTGGAGCAATATCTGATGAAAGATCCCAAGTGGTTTTCCATGCACTGGAAAAGGACGCCAAATGCATTTTTCATATATTGAAGCTTAAATTATCACTCCCTTATTCCTGAAAGCCTGAGGCATGGAGCAGTATTCTAAATCCCTCTGAAGGTGCTTAGTGACCATTAATAATCATTTCTTTTGTTTCTGCATTTCCATAGAAGGTAGAGGATCACCTCACGGCAGTGCCCTGCATGGACAAATCTCCAGAGACACGCTTTTTTCGTGAACCATTCCTCCTTGAAGAAAGTCCAAAAGATGAAATCCTTGAAGATCAGAAAGTTAAAAGCCCTTCTGTCTCTCTTTCTCCAATACGGTCCCAACCAGTTGCATTGCCAGAAGCCATCACACCTGCATCACCAGTGCAGTCTCAGCCAGCAACACCTATGTTGGCTTCATCCCCCGCCTCTGCCCAGTGGCCTATCTGTTCCCAGCCTTTGCCGTCTGCTGAAGCACCCATTCCATCTCCAGTGGAACCTCCAGTGTGCTTTCAGCCTGTACCAGCCTTAACATCCACTCCTCTGGCCCAACTTGCCCTAAAGAGCCAAGATAAGGAGGTGGGAAAATTGGGGAGCCCTACTACTGCAGAAGAAGCCCTGAAACGGAATAACCTCGTAGAGGAGTTCTGGATGAAGAGCGCTGAAATCCGGAGGAGTCTGGGGCTCACTCCAGTGAACAGAAGCAAAGGGTCAGAGCCTAGCTTTACTGTCTCAGCCCTTGAGTCAGCTCCGCTGAGTGTTTCAGAGGAGGAGGGGATCCATCTTGTAAAACCCCAGCCTGCCCCAAGAAGGCTGATCATGTCCAAACTAGACAGTGAGCAGATGTCTCTGCTGACTCCAAAATCTCCTTCAGACAAAGAGCTGAAGAGTTCCAATGAAGTAAAGAGAGACTTATCCAGCAGCTCTGGATTGGGTCTGCATGGAAGTTCATCCAACATGAGGACATTGGCCAGCCAGAGCTTCAATACTTCTGATTCCACTATGCTCACTCCACCATCAAGCCCTCCCCCACCACCTCCTCAAAATGAAGCACCAGCAACTTTGCGTAGAAAGAGGCATCAGACAATTTGGCAGAATGAGACAGAATCTAAGCCAGCACCAGCACCAACACCTCCTGCACCCTCACCTTATGAGCACAACCCTCCTGCCAAAGAGTCAACCCAGGGCTCAAAAGAAGAGGTGCGGAAGTCATTTGTGGAGAGTGTGGATGAGATTCCATTTGCTGATGATGTAGAAGACACTTATGATGAGAGAACTGAGGATACAAGTCTTCATGAAAAGTTCTTTACACCCCCTACCAGTAGGCCAAGGCCAGAGAAGCCTCTTCACCTGCCATTGGTCAAAGAGAATGGTGGACCTCCATCAATGGAAGGAGAAGCGAACCAAAGGAAGAGAGTGCTGCCTCAAATCTCTCCAGAAGCCAAGGAGCTAGCTGAGGAAAGAATGAGAGCCAGAGAGAAATCTGTAAAGAGTCAGGCATTGCGGGATGCCATGGCTAAGCAGTTGTGTAAGATGAAAGATCTGGAGACGGCTGCAGCTGCTGCGGCCACCAAGGCACGAAAAGCCTCCTCCATGCCCTTGAAGCCCAAAGAGAGAGGTTTTGAGTCCTCAGCACATTTGGCCGTGAAAGCAGCAGAGGGCCCCACGCTGAAACATGATGCTGCTAATGAAAGGTTCCTCTCCCCCCCTGTTGACATTGCTGGGCCCGAAGGGTCCGTCACCTCCTCAGAGGGCTCCAGTGGGAAAAGTAAGAAAAGGACTTCTCTCTTCTCCCCTCGTAAGAACAAAAAGGAGAAGAAATCCAAGAATGACAGCCGGCTTTCTGACAAATCAAGTGGCATGGCCGAGGAAGCCACCAAGCCCAGATCATTGTGGAAGTCTGTTTTTTCTGGGTACAAGAAAGACAAGAAGAAAAAGACTGATGACAAATCCTGCCCTAGCACTCCTTCCAGTGGTGCCACAGTGGACTCTGGGAAGCACAAGGTCTCTCCAATGGTTAGAGCAGCAGGTATAGTACATCTGCCTGTCTGCACACTGTACTTTCACTGCAGCTGGAAAGCTTCTGAAATGAAGTAGTCCCAACTCGCTACCCCACACTGTTATGTTCTGAGTCGCTCTCCTTTGCCTAACATGTAAAGCCTTGAGGATAATGGGATTGGAACTGTAGACATGTTTGTTTATAAAATAAGTAGCATATCAATGGGAGAAACAGATTGTCAAATAGCAGATTTGGTACATTACTGTTCATTTCACACATACCAGGCTACAAAACTAGTCATTTTTCTGCCTTAACCTGACTCAAAAGAGAGGAGTTTGCCACTTTTCAAACTTGTTTTAACTGCCACCCTGGCTTCCTACCTTGACCATCATTCACTTCCCTTGAATCTACCATGGCAGACTATGCAATGTTTTTAGAGATAGACATAAATGTCCCTTCATTAATTAAAAGGTAAATGGGTGCTTAAGAGGGCATTGAGATATGGTTACTTTCCCTCCTCTTTGCTCTCTGTGTGGCTTGGGACCTGCCAGCTCTCTGCTGCTCTAAAAAGCGGGGGTCATGGGGTCAATCATAGATACAGATCTGCCACTTACCACTCAGAGCACTTTAGTGACAACTTGAGAATCTTGAGACATACTAAAGCAGTTATCTGTAAACATGGGCCAAAGCAGACGTACCTGTCACTTCTTTTGACTCATACCAAAGTGGAGCTGGCCAAAAAGACTTAATCCCTGCTGCTATCATCCAAATGCTCAGCCTCTTTATAGGAATAAAGAAAAGGAGTACTTGTGGCACCTTAGAGACTAACCAATTTATTTGAGCATGAGCTTTCGTGAGCTACAGCTCACTTCATCAGATGTTTACCGTGGAAACTGCAGCAGACTTTATATACACACAGAGAATATGAAACAATACCTCCTCCCACCCCACTGTCCTGCTGGTAATAGCTTATCTAAAATGATCAACAGGTGGGCCATTTCCAGCACAAATCCAGGTTTTCTCACCCTCCACCCCCCCCACACAAATTCACTCTCCTGCTGGTGCTAGCCCATCCAAAGTGACAACTCTTTACATAATCGAGTCGGGCTATTTCCTGCATAGATCAAGGTTTTCTCACATCCCCCCCACCCCCATACACACACAAACTCACTCTCCTGCTGGTAATAGCTCATCTAAACTGACCACTCTCCAAGTTTAAATCCAAGTTAAACCAGAACATCTGGGGCTGGAGGGAACGGAAGCTGTGCTTACCTTGTTCAACATCATTCTCAAATTTACCTGTTTCAGAAGGTGGGGCTTCCTTAGAAGGAAACCCCACAGTCAATGATTCCACACTGTGGTGTAGCTTTGTGGAGTGGTGCTTTTGGGAGCACGATATTCCCAGATGTTGCAGCAGTGAAGTGTGACTGTGATAGCTATTTCAAAAGTGTAAATCAAGCAGGAGCAAGACCAAACTCAAAAGTATCTGCAGAGATAGAAACACAATAGTAGTGACCACTCTTCTAAACCTGTCATCCTATTCTTACTTTTTTTTTGGTCTGTTTTCTCAGATTTGCAGCTCCGTCGACACTTGAGTTTCTCAGAGGACTCTGACCTCTCCAGTGATGATGTTCTCGAACGATCTTCTCAGAAATCCAAGCGAGAGGTAGGAAGACCATTTAGATAGAACTGTCCTCATAGAGATCATAGACTCAGAACCACAACAACGTTTGCCAGGATTAACTTTATCATTCTTACTGTTTTTGTTGCAGATGGTGTTAGTATAAGATTGTCTGAATAATAAACCTGAAATCAACCAGTCAGTTTCAACAATAAGCCAGATTCCCTATTGGCATTGTACAGAGGTCCTGTTGTCATTGCCATGCACACAGGCGTTGTGTGTATTGTCTTGTTCTGAGGGTAGGATATTTTTGTCCCTCTAGAGAACATACTCATAATCTCTAGCATTGGGAATTTCATGTCTAAAGAGTAAATTTTACTGGCTGTAACATTACTACAGAAATGTGCCATTGGGACATTCCTCACTTCATGGTGAAGATCTGGTTTTAGGACGTTGTTGTGCCAACCTAGTCAATAGGTTGATCTGTTGGAGTTTGAGGCAAACTGCATACAGGTATGTTACTGTGCATTCAGCAAAGGCATAGGCAAGACAGAGTATCCAGAGAGGTGCAAGCTGCAGGTTTGTGGTTCTGCAGCATGGCATATGTGTGCGTATTTCCCCAGGGAGATGTGGATCTATATGTTAGGGTTCTTCTGTCTGGAAGAGCCTGTCTGGAGAGCCTGTGTCTATTCCGCTCCCATTTTGTCCCTACTCCCTTTGAGGGATCCCTGGCAATTAGCAGTTTCCAGATGCGTGTCTCCTGGGTGTAAGCAGTGACTGCGAAACTGAAATAGGAAGAAGGCGTTGGATACATGGAGATTTGAGCATAGGGCTGTTGCTCACCGTGCAGGTAAGGGCTGGGTGTGAGCTCAGCTTCTTGAGAGAAAGAAGTGTCTGCTTGCTCGTGAGCAGCCTCCTCTGGCTAGTGCTGTAGAGTTCTGGAGCGAGCCACATGGACCCCTCCCCAACCAAAGGCAACTCCACAGTGAAATGGGGCTCAAAGGGGAGTAGACAAGTAAAGAGAAAGTGGAAGGAGCTTCTGCTGGACCCCCACAAACACCCTAAAAAAGACACCTGTCATTTTGCTGGGACCAGGGCATACATGTGAGCAAGAGATCTGACAGGAACTGAGGGGCCCCTGCTTTTTATTTCTCTATCTCTAGTGTATTCATCACATAATGAAGGGGGTGGCCACGTTTTCATAGTTTCATTTGAACGGGGGGAAATATAAAGTAAAAACAGAACAAGTGAAAGATAAAAAAAAAAAATCACAGTGGATGCTGGAGTGGAGAGAAACCTGCAGCTGTCAGAGGGGTTCCTGGATGTGCCCTGCAGGTTTGGGGTGTGGTGACTGGGTACGTCCTTCTCACTGACAATACCATGGTCCTCAGCTCAAGCATGCACTGGAAAGAGAGAAGTGAGTTCTCTCCTGTCCCCACTTTCTCCCCTTGTGCCTGGCTCCCAGGGTATGTCTATACGTCAAGCTGGAGGTGTAATTTCCAGTTTGAGGAGACGTACCTGTGCTAGCTGTGATCCCTCTACTGTGCTAAAAATATAATTGTTGCCATAGTGACGGGAGAAGCTAGCCACTGGAGCATGTACCTAGCATCTGGGATGGGATTGTCCACCTCCATCTCATGAACAAAAGGAACCTTAGAGGACAGTATCACAGCTCTCCACACTAATGGTGAGCAGCTCCCCCCACCTTTCACCAAGCCTGGAGAAATCAATGGCAAATGCCACGTTAGGGCAGTTGTCTGGATCAGCTGGTGAAGGTCTCAGCTGATTGGGATGGTTGTGGTTTAGTGCAAGTGGAAATACAGGAGAAGATCATTTCCACTTGTATTTTTAACTATGATACAATAAAATTCTCATAAACGTGGCAAGCTGAGGGTTTGGTGTACTGAAGTGAATGGGACTCGTCCTCACATAATTAAACCTCTTTAAGCTTCCCTCCCTGGTTCATATATATGTAGTCCTCTCCTCTGAGAAGAGGGTTTTACTCTGGGAACCGTTCTTTATATTGGACCCCTTTCTTCTCTTTGTTTTTTGCTTCTCTTTCTCCTTTGCTTGCCCTCGAGGTGTTTCATGACAAGTTCCGCATTGCATCTGAGATGCAGAAGGAGGAGGTATCTGGGGAAGCAGAAAGAGAGGGAGGTTCAGATAAGAGCTGTGATGCTGTCATTCCTGTCCAGCTTGTGAACTCCTGGCAGCGGGACTTCAATAAGCACCATGTATGTTCTCAAAGTTGGGGGTGCTCTAATATTCACTCCTTTTCTCTGGCACCTCCATGCTGAGCAACTTTGGTAACAATTGGCTTTTGCAGAAGAGGTGGTGGCCACTGAGTATTCCAGGGTCTGGAGATGCTACAGATGGCCTGGAATTCTTCCTGATACCCAACAAAAATATTGTTCTTCCTTTAAATTTTCTCAGTTATTTTACATAAGCAGCAAGATTTCCAGGATATGGTTTTCTTGTCTCACTTTCTCCATTTGCTGTGGCTGAGTCACACTTAAGGATCTCCTCTTTGCTCAGTGCCTGAGTATGCTTTCCAGGAGCAGTAATTGGGAGCGTGTGCACTAATCCAGAGGGAACAGACCACAGACACATCAGCCTTTTGGTTCACAACAAGTGTGTCTGGGGATGTAAAACATTTACACCACAGCCTGGCAAGTCTCGCTGCAGAAGGAATTGCATCCAGGGTGTGGCTGGCAAAAGGGTAGCACTGATTTTTGGGTTTGTGCCTTTTAATTACAGACCAAGTCAACTGCTTATTTCCTCCATTATGGGGAAGAAGTGGCTCCCTTAATGCCACATAACTTTTATCTGAACCCTTTCGAAGTTAAAATCCAGCTGATGTTGCTTTTGTGGTTGTTGTATTGAACTTGCTTCCCAGAGGGTTTGGCCTGTTTAGCCTGCCCATCATAGCATTAGCAATCAGTAGTGAATTAACTTTGTGTGGCTTAGTGTGTTGCCTTTCAACAAACGCTTCATGTAAAGAATGTTCATGTAGTTCCCTGTGGGTTGTGCGCTAATATTTGTGTGTGCGTGTGAGAGAGAGAGAGAATGTACAGGATGTGGGGCGATGATCAGAAATACATGTCTCCTGCTGCAGATAGTTTGCTGAATGTTAAAATTTGCATACATGTTCAGATTGTTTCTCAGCTTTCCATTCATGATCGTTTTAGTTAAATGAATATTCGGCAAAAATGCTGAATGCTGGCACTTTGCCTAGGGCGCGTTACTATGCGCTCTGTACCTCATCGCACAATGGAAATTCACTTTGCTTCGGAACACTGGGCAGTGCAATCGTTTCACCTGAAGGGGCTAATGGAGCTAAAGGTACGTCTGTGCAGCCGCTGGGATCATGCTTCGCAGCACCGGTAGACAGACACACACTAGCTCCGCTCTAGTTAGCGCACTAAAAATAGCAATGTGGTGGTGGCGGCTCAGGCTAGTGGCTCAAGAACAATCCCACCCAAGCCCCGAAGGCTGTCCCGTCTAAGCAGAGCTCTCACCTGGGCTGCTGCAACCACACTGCTGTTTTTAGTGTCCAAGTCTGAGCAGTGGTAGCGGGTGCCTGTCTACCTCGAGCAAAGCGAGCACCTCTGTGTCCCAGCTGCTGTGTAGACGTAGCCTTAGCGTGCCACTCTTGAATCGGTAAGGTTGTAGCTTTTTTTTTTTTTTTTTTTTCTAACTGAGCTGAAATTACAGGACTGAGGGGCCAGAGCAGAGTGTTCCGCTGTCATTGACTCGTAGCACTGCTCCTTACTGAGCTGCTGCTCAGCAGCAGAACACTCCCAACACCTTGCAGCAGCACAGAGTCAGTACTGGTGCAGTGAAGAGTGTCTCCTTTTCAGCACTCTTGGAGGAGTCCCATTCAGGTACCAAGTCGGAGCCTCCATTAGCTGATGAGACCCAACACGCTCAGAGCCCTGGGTAACATTCGTGCAGGTTACAAAGCAACGAGCGAGGCCAGGGTGGTGGAACTCCAAGGTTATTTTTAATTAGTAAGCAAAGGCCATATCCAAGACATAAAAGCACCAGAACTTCTGAGAAAAAAGGTTGTGGAGCAGAAAGTAGATGAGGGGGAACGCAATGGAGTCCGCACGTGATCTCGCTGTCACTCTGAACGTTGAACAAGCGGACACCAGAGTGAGTCCCGCCAGGATGCAGGCTTTAGGCTCTGTGACAAAGGCAAAACCCAGGGACAAGATAACAGGCTGAATAGAGAGCAGCATAGTGAGATATCCGAAAAGGCTTCTTCACCAAGAGATTCATTAATTTGTAGAATGGGCTGCTGTCTTAGTTGTACATCTGTACAGGACCTACCTCAGTGAATCCTCATCCCTGATTGAGGTTCCCAGCTGCTGGGTGAATCTAGGGTTCTCACAAGCCAAATCTTTTTCTAAATGAACTCAATCATATGTGTGTGGATTTTTTTAAGAAGCCATATATGATTGGCTGAGCTGGTTCAGATCAAAACAGAACCAACCCAAACCATTGTTCCAAAGCTTGAACCAAAATGTTCTTTGTCCACATATCTACAAATACGTATTGCCAGAATAGAAAAGGGGATCTCCTGGATGACTGGTTTTCCAAAGAGGCTCCTCAGTTGGAATTGCCTTCAGGAGAGTGCTGGTAAATGGATTTCTGAGTAGAGATTTTTCATTGTGCGTAATCAGGCTGTGCCAGGTTCACCATTTGTACAATTTTATGTTGCATTTAAAAACAGCTTTGTTTGTATTACTGTGCATTTGTTTTCAATGTTGAACTGATTTTGCTCCATTTTGTGTGTTTTTATTTTTTTCCCATTACCATTCCCATTTTAAAGTCGATTTATGTACCACACGCCCTGGCATTCAAGAGATCATACTCGTCAAAGGTAGTGTCTCCATTGCTGGCCATTGTTGCATGCATGCCCATTTATTAACCCATCATATCCATACCTTGCTCCCAACCCTCCCACCACATCTGCACTAACACCACAACCCCTGACTCTGCATGAGTGAGATGTTAGCAAACCTTGGCAACGGAATCTTCCTCAAGATTATCTACAGAAAATGTGACGAACCCCAAACCTTTCTGACTCGTTAGACTGCATGCAATGATCAGTGCACCTCAGGGGCCCAAAAGGGGGACTGATAATCACTCTGCAGGACAGTCTGGTGCTGCAGATGCATTAAGAATCCTTAGTCTCAAAGCAGCGTGGTTTGTTCGGTAGAAAGTGTATTGTACGTGTGTGTTTAAAAAAAACAACAACCCTCCCCATTTGAAAAAGAGTCAATGGTCATGTGTTAGTTTCCAGGGTCTTTTGAAACACACTTGGACAAACCGTGAAATCTTAATGAAACTGTCCCAGGTTGTTACATTAGTTTTTCCAGACTGGGAGTATCTCTGTTTCCTAAACTCCATCCCTGCCTCCAAACCTAGCCCGTGTCACATGACCTAGCCCGTGTCACATGAGTGTTTGGTGGGATCTTAAACCTCCACCCCTCAATTATTTTGCTTTCTAACTGGGGTAGCATTATGTGCAGAAGAATGAAGAAGCAACGCATTAACTCCTTTCCCTTGGCAGATACGATAATGCCTCCATGTAATCCCCTGTGTCAAAAGCTTGGGATAGAGCTGCTGCCCTTTGGTTTTAAAACTCCACTAAAGATCACACTAAACTATCCCAGATATTGGTTGCCAAGACCAGTCTTACAGAGATGGGCTGCTCAGTTGGGACTTGCAAAAGAAAAGTGATGTTAACTAGATTTAAAAAAAAAAAGAAATTCAGGTCTCCCTTTCCCAACATTTTGCCCCTTAAACTGAGCGGCATCTCCGTCTGCAGCTGGGTTTGATTATGGAGAGGCAGTTGCCTCTTTCCAATTATCCCTTAGACTTTGAATCCATGTATATGAGGAGGAAAGGTGCTTTTTTCAGTCAAGTGGGCTCAGTCAGGTTAGCTTAACATAATTGTGAGGCCCTGTTAACATCTTTAAAGTCACATAAGCTTGTGCCCACCTAGGCTACAACACAGAGGTAATACCGGTCTGAAATGATGACTGAAAAGGTGTTAAACTGTGTCTACCCTGGTATTAAGTGGACTTTCCTGATAGGTTAAGCAAGCGTGACCAGGTTAACTTGCCTGAAGAAGCACCTTCTTTCCCCTGTAGCTATGGCCTTTCTTTCCTTGACATGATTTCTTGTGGTTTCTTTTTTCACTGGCGAGCTGTGATGGTGGTTATGACCGTCCCCTCCCTCCACTCTTATGTTTAGGTTTTGTCTACACACACAGAAATTACACTGATTTAACTGAGGACTTGTCTGCACAGAAAAGATTTACCAGCTATAAAACTATATATTATATCAGTGTAACTCCTCTATGTGGACATTTATTCCAAATAAAGAGTGGCTTTTTTCCATTTATCTTAAAACTCTTCCAAAGCAACATTAGATAAACTGAAAAAGGCACTCTTACACTGGAATAAGGATGTCCACATGTGGGGAATACCGATATAAGCGAAGGTGTGAATCTAAAACAGTATAATTATGTCAGTGTGACTTTCCCCTGTAGACAAGCCCTTAGCCTTTTTCTAAATTAAGTCAGTGCAGCCTCCATACATAGACACTTTTAAATAGATTTCAGTGTGTCCACACAAGAGGGTTGTACCAGTTAGTTAAATGGGTGCAATCTTCGTGCTTAGACTGGGTCTAAGATACTGTATACCAGCTAGAGCCAGGACTGGGATGCTGTATAAAATCACAGCTTTGCAGTTGAGCCACACACTCCTTCATGCTGTATTGATCCTGACAGTGTCACCTGCTGCGCTGTGAACACCTGTGGAGATGGAACAGCTTGACTGCTTGACAAAGTTCTGGGAATGAAGGATCACATCACTTGTGAGGTTAATGGAGAGAGGAGTGTCTTCTTTCCCCCACACTCTTGTTCATGGTGTGTGAAATCTGTTCTTGTTTTCCTTTCTGCAGAGAGCCTACACTGAGGAGGAGCTGAACGCCAAACTGACCAGGCGAGTGCAGAAAGCTGCCCGGCGACAAGCCAAGCAGGAGGAACTAAAGAGGTTACACAGAGCCCAGGTAGTACCTCTGGTAGTATCTTCTTGCCCTGACAGGAACTACACTCTGCTGTCCAGGAAAACCATGTTAGCAGGATGTGAAAGAGGAGACTGTATAGCCAGATTTTCTTGATTACTTTCCTGTATTTCAACAAGATTGCTGCTGTTCCTACTGGCTTCATCATGTTGGGTGCCTCCTCACAAACATGCCAGGAGGTGCTCAAAGCTTTAGTGCAGAGCAAGGAAACACCTGCTTAGTCAGAGCTACTACCATTGAGCAGTAACCATTGTTAATTGAATGGAATAACAGATCTCACGGAATAACATGCGATGCAGCTATGCCAGTGATGATTGGATAAGCCACGGATGTTACAGTGGGATTTTGCTGCAATAAGTGGTACCAGATGGATGTTTTATTGTCAGAGGCACCTTTGCAATGGGTAGTAGGTGTCCTTTCCAGGAGGTGGTGAGAGTTACATGAAACCTGTTGGCCGGTTGTGTTCTCTCACTGAGAAGGGGGCCTGCCTAACCAAACAGCACCACCTCTTGTCTTGGAAGTTGGTGGGAGACTTAACAGAAAATGGAACATCATGGGATTGCTTGCAAAACTAGGGCAAAGGACACATCTCTCTCTTGATTAGATACCTGCTTCTGAAACATTGCATGGAGAGCAGCTTTTTGGAAATGCTGGGAGAAAGGGGAGCTGTCATTCTGGGGTGGATAATTTGGAGTACTGGAACAGATCCTGATGATGGTGTTCCTCTCTTCCCTTCCTGAACAGATCATCCAACGGCAGCTGGAGCAGGTAGAAGAGAAGCAGAGGCAGCTGGAGGAGAGGGGGGTTGCAGTGGAGAAGGCCCTTAGAGGAGAAGCAGGTACCTTACAATGTTGTTTGTTTTTAATGTTTGCTGACTTAATGCCCATGCAATCGTTCATAACAATTTGGAGTTTAGGGTGAGGGGGTCCCCTCTGAACTGAAAGTGGAATAGTTTAACTTGGACTCAGATCATGAATTAATTCGCCTTTTCCCAGCAGAATTCTGAGCCCCTGTTATCCCTGAAGTGGTTCTAACTCTGGGGCTTCTCTCATGGGAGAAGTCCCCAGAGCAGTTGTCTTTGCTCGGGGCTCAGGAAATGCCTAACCACTATTCATTGAAAGCTGTTGCATAAGAGCTAAGTGTATCTATTATTATTTGGTGGTGGAACAAAAGTGGAATATTAATTACATCGTAGAGAAATTGCACAGGGGTTACCCAGCTGGAATTCACTTAGGTTACCCAGCAAGGAGAGCCCAGTTGGCAGGATAAGATACTAACTGTGAAATGACGTATGTTTTGAAATGAGGTATGTTCCTGTACTGTATTGGATCATCAAAGTTAGTGTCCACACAAGAGACCATCACAGAACTGCCCCAGCAAGTACCTTCTCCTCACTGCACAGCCCAGACACCAGTAACCTCTCACGCAAGCTGTATGGAGCAGAAATGCATGTACCAAAAGGTTTCACCGTGTCACGCTGTTAATGGAATGTGCTACATCCCTTTTGGGGCTAAATGCAATGAGTGTTGAGCCAGGCTGGAAAAGTATCTGAGCAGAAAAACACTTGTTCCGAGTGGCAGTTTTATACCCCTCCAACTTCCCCATATGACATCATAATCCAGAAAAAAACAATCCCAAATGATACAATTATTGGGCCAGGAGCCAACGCCCCTCGGGCAAATGCAGGGCATGTGCACCTGGCAGGCCCGGGTGTGTGCACCATACTGCAAAGGTCAGAGATTATAAATGGTAATAATGGGACAGCTGTTTGAAAGATGGTACAGTGTGGTGCTTGGATGGAAGAGCAGCCACTGTCTCTGTACGGATTGCACTGGACTGGGTGATGAAGATTCCTTGGGAGGAAGGTCTGGTGTGATTTTCATTGGTTACTACTCAGCCATCTCGCTTTGTTGTCTTTAACCCTCAGCTTGGCTTTCTGAAAGTCAGGTCTTAGAATTTAAGGCCAGAAGGGACCACTAGATTATTTAGTCTGTCCTCCTGGATATCACAGGTCACCAACATCATCCAGCACCCGCGCACACAACCCAACAACTGAAATTAGACCAAAGGAACTGAGATCTACAGGGTACTAAATGACTATGTGCCATAGGAAGAGAATATGAGGGACCAAGATGCACCAGTGCTTGAGACCCTTGCAATAGCTGGAAAATTATTAAGTGAGAGATACCCAGATGATCTTGACAAGTGACCTTCACCCACCCACTGTCGAGGAAAGTGCCTGTAGAGGCTGGGTGATTAACAGTGTCTTATCCAAACAAAGGGTTGTACTGCAATCACACAGTCAGCATTTGAGCACAGGCTTGATCGCCTCAGTGTTTTTTTATTCTGATTGATTTCTATGATATGTTGGTTCACAGAATAATCTGATGCAATAATACATCTGCAGTGGCAGCTTTCTCTCTATGCTATCTATGCATTCAGACATGGCACCACTCGCAGACCCCAGGCCCTCTAGCTACTGCACAATTAATACCTCTCTCTCTCTCCTTTCTTTGGTTAGTCTTTTAGCTTATTCCACTGTCTCCTTGAATCCCTTCTTCCTCATTCACCTGCTGAAGACATCTATATAAGGAGCGTCACCAGAGGCCGTGGAACCTTACAAATGGAAGCGTGTGCTTCTCCACAATCTAGGGAATGTCTAGGCAGGCAAGCAGTTATGGTGTGGGGGTTATGGGTATCCAGTTTGGGGGCAGGGGGAGAGCTGAATTAGGGCCTTGCATATTTTACTTGTCATTGAGCCTGACAGAAACCTAAAGCCAGCCCTGCACGGGCTGGTGTGTTTGTGACCATTTTTTAAAAAGCAGGAATATGAGAACGTGCATCACTCGGTGCAACTGCGAGAATCTCCTGCTCCAGCAAATCTCTGGGAGATGGTCTGAGCCTGTGACAGCACCACATTTCCACCAAAAGGTTGTACACGTTACGTTTACAGAAGCTTCAGCCCATCGTGAGGGACTCTGCAGCCTGAACTCTTCCAAGCATTGCAGGGGATAAACAAAGAATACTTTATGCCAAAAAATGTCTTAATCCAAGTTCTGTTGGCTGAAACACAGGCTAGAATGTGACCTGTGTCCCCCACTTCTTCAGCCAGCCTAGTGGGAGCAATTTTCATACTTCACACTGGAGCCACTGTGTTTTCCCTCCTTTTAAAATGCTTACTTTACCCCTCCCTCAGTAGTGTTGTCAACTTTTGTCTCCTCCATCCATGGATCATCCAGGAAATCTACATACATCTCCTCCTACCCTTTTCCCTGAAGCAGACCACTGCATTGCCTCAGATACTGACTCAGCACTGAAAACTCCACTGTACTTTATGGCTTTCAATACTGCTCTTTTGTCCTTGGTCAACCATGTTCAGCACTTCCCCTTAGTGAAATCCTATAAACAAAGGGGGTCAAAAGGAGTTGAATGTGTTCAGTGCTTGTATGATACCTGAAGATGGTCTTTCTCTATTTCACAAGTTTATACAGAATGCCCTGGCCATGCTTAAGGTGGGAGAAATGCATCTTTTTTTTTTTTTTTTTTTTCTTCACACCTGGCCGACACAGAGGGCTGAGGTACATAGGAATTACTGTACTGGATCAGACCAATAGTCCATCTGGTCTAGCATCCTTTCTTGAAGAGTAGCTGGTACCAGATCCTTCAGGGAAAGGTATTAGACTCTCTGTAATGTATAACTGTATAGTCACCTGTCCATAGAGCAGATTTCTTCCTAATTTTCATCACTGGTTGACTTTTGACATAAAACATAAAGGTTTATATTCTTACTATTAATAATTTCAAGTAACTCCTACACCGTGCAAGTTGCTGCACAGACATAAAGGAAGGAACAGAGTCTACCAAACAAATGGTAGGGGGAAATATGCAAGTAAAGTGGACAAAATGATTAGCCATTTCTTGATGACAATATTAGACATATGGACAGTTTCCATTTATTCCTCAAATTTTCCATTGTTGATCGGCTAGATTTGGTGCATTTATATAGTTTGTGGCAATGAGTTCCACCAGCTAATTATGTAGTGTGTAAAAATATTGCCTTTATCAATTTTAAATTTGCTGCCTTTCAGATTTCATTTAATTGCCTCCTTTTTTCCTTGTATTATGAAACAGAACACAGACAAGAGCTCCTGATCTTCTCTGCACCACGCATTATCTCTGTCAGGTCCCCGCATATTCATTTCTTCTCTGAACTAAAACATTTTAAATCTTTCTTCCAATGGGAGTCTCTCCCAGCCTTTAATCATTCTCATCACCCACTTCTGGGCCCATTTTATATCTGTAATATCTTTTCTGACATGGGGCGACAAGAACTTAAAACGGCATTGTAGGGGAGGATTTATGATTTGTTTATATCATGGCATTAAAATAGTTTCACTTCTATTTTCCATCCATTCTATATACATCTTAATATTGTTTGTGTTATTAACTGCCACTGAGCAGATGTCTTCATTGAACTGTTCACAATGATGTCCAGCTCTCTTCCTGAGAGGTTACATTAATTTAGAACTCAGCAATGAGTGTGATTTTTTTTTTCAAATCATTTATTCCAGCTTGCATTATCTGATATTTGTCAGCATTGAATTTCATGTATCATACTGTTATCCAATCATCTAACTTGGTTAGGTCCCTTTGAAGTTCCTTGGTCTACTTTAGTTTTGACTTAAACCTCAATAATTTTAGCTGCAAATGTTTCCACCTCACTGTTCACCTCTTTGTTCACCTTTTTTCCAAATCACTGGTAAATACTGTACATAAACTCCACCAGTTCTAGTACACAACTTGGGAGCACCCCAGTGTTAATTTCTTACCATGTTGAAAGTTGAACATTTATTCCTACGTTTATTTTTTTTATTCTTAGTTTATAGTCCATAACCGCTTCCTCCCCTTCCCCCATGACTACCTAGTTTCCTTACTAGTCTCTCTGTCTTTCTTTGACAATCACTCCCATTGGTCGTTGCACAGACTACATTGAAGGTGTAGAGAAGACATCTCTGAACATTCTGAAATGTGATCTCCCTCTCCGGTGAAAAGTTTGGTGGTTCAGGAGCTCAGTCTTTTGAAACCAGTGCCTCTTTCTCTCAGGTGCAGCGGGATAGTCTCAAAGAAGGTTTCATTCTCCACTTCCCTTAAATGCCCCATGGGACATGGTGTTCTGTATGGGACTGACAGTAGTTTAGCAAAACTTTGCTTTTTTAAAAAAAAAAAAAGAGGCATTGGTCTGGTGGGACACAGACCAATGGCTTTAGTCTCTAGTGTTTGTTTTCCACTCTGTTGGCTAGTTATTAAACTAAGTGAGTAATGCGGGCTCTGTCATCTTGGATGTTTCTTCTCACGCTTTAAAGAGATCTTGGGCAGCCAATTTTAAAAGTTAAGGAAAATACACCTGCAGCTCTCAGATCACCAAGGTTGGCCAAGAGTCTCTGGTCTTCTTGAGCTAAACCATGTTCTTTGAGAAATAGTGTACTAAGCCAAACAGAAAGAACTGCCCCCATGTGCCTCTTGCCCAAAGAACCACAGTGTAGTACCAGACTGGCTGGCTAACCCTTCTCTAGGGGGTGTGCAAATACACATTGTGTCCATTATCACACACCTGCACAACCACACAAGTCTTTCCTTCCCCAGCACCTATCCCACACCAACAGACATTCTCCTTCCCCAGCACACATTTCACATTGGCAGAAATATGCACTTGTCTTCCTGGTGCACACACTCGTGGACTCCTCAGTTATGCCAGCACCCGGTGCCCTCCACTCATGTGCTGTACACTCAGTCTTGTCTCACCCTCACCCCCAAGAAATCAATCCTTATACGTCTCCTGCAGTTTACCTGAGAAATTATGGTGCTTCCTTAGGACACAGTTTTCAGCCTGGAAGCAACAAGCATATCTCTTCCTTTCTTAGCAAGAACAGGAAACGGGTCGGTGTCAGGAACGAGTACAAACTGAACAAGGTGAAGTGTCTCTGTACAGACCTTGTGCCCCCTTCCTCTGGAAGCCAATGCCTGCCTGCCTGCCTGCCTGCTGGGAATTGTTATTCTGTCCCCCCATCTCCTCCAGTATATGTATAATACAGCTGCATGATTTCTTGTTGTTTCTTTGTCTCTTTCTCTCTCTCTCTCTCTCTCTCTCTCTCTTATGTGTGTGTCTGTCTTTCTCTCTCATGTATATTGCTTTGATTTGGTGGGGCTGGGGTGGATATCTGATTCAATAACTCTCTCTTCACCAATTCCTTGTTGTAGACTATTGGGGAGAGTCTTATTACAGTGACCTCATCGACTTGCACCTGGGTGGTATGTATAGCAGAACCTCTTACTGAGACTAACCCCGCTGACACCCCTCCCCAACCTTCCCTTCACCTCTTTCTCCCATCCTTGGCTCACAAACAACAAGAAGAAACAAACCTTGCACATAACTGATTGGCTGTAGCAGAACCCCTTTTCCAGCTCAAAGAGAGGAGAGTCTGTCGCAGTCCACAAACCATGCATGAGGATTTTTTCCCACAACAGTTAAATCCTCCTCCTTGGGGTTGTGCACGACCATTCTTTTTCTAAATTAAATTTTTTAACCCCTAAATCTCAGCCACCTTTCCTGTTAGTAATGAAGCCCATTTCATTGTCTGGCTTCCCAAAAACATTTTCTCCCTCCACATTCCACTAGGATAAAGAAGTCCGCATAAAGTGAATGGGAAAAAAAATGGGAATCAAAAGCAAGAAACGGCAAACTACAGGAGCTGCCCCCAGTCTGGGGGAATATATCAACCCAGTGCTCTCAGAAGTCTGCTCCTGAGGTTCCCCTTTTTTCTTCCAAAGAAACTAGTGTGTTCTGGTGTCCTAAAGAAAGCAAAATGCTCCCAGTAGAGATGTCGGAAATACTTAATGGTGGATAAGGGGTACTACTTCTGTCTTGTTTTGTTGTAGGTGCATTTAGGAAATACAACAAATCCAGATCTCTTACTCCCCTGAGACCTGCTCTGCACCATCTCAACTGTCAATATGGAAGCTTCCTTTTATATTAATTCTCTCTTATGTCATTTAAGATCCTTAAAAACATGTATTAGAGTGATTTACTCTGCTTTAATTGGATGTAGGGATTAGAATCATCCCTCTGACACTGCAATTTTCCTTTCTTGCCTGGGTGCCACTGCCTGCCTCCCTTAATAGGTGGCTTTTAGTTTAGGGTTATAAATTCTACTTGTCTGTAGTTTGCCAACCTTGACCATTAAAAGCCCTTGCTTTATTTTAGCCCCCATTATAGCAGTTTCCTTGTTTAGCCACTACATCTACAATCAGTAGATCTAGCCCAAGCAACCAGCACTCTCTAGGTAGAACCAACACAGGCTAACTGTTGGCTCACCTTGTCTCCTCTGCCCACTCATTTCCCACTGAGAGTATAAAGTTGTTAAGCCCAAAGTGTATACTTATGGGTAGGGAGAGCATCAGGACCAACTCCCCAGAATGGAAAGGAGTGACTTCCATGTACACACTCTCTGGTCCTGATCCCAAGCCTATTGCAGTCAGTAGCAGTCTTTCCATTGGCTGCAAGGGGCTTTGGATCAGGCCCTCTAGGAGCAGTTTACTTTTTAACTGTCATTTCCTCCTTCTGCCTTTCCCCAAGACTTCCACCCTGGCCATCAGTGCACCACACAGTATTCTGTCTGTCCGGCTGCTGGGAATAATTCCAGTCCACCCTGACACACTAGCTTTTTGGACAAAAAATACCCCCCTGCGTTCAAGTGATGGGATACAGGCTTTTACTGGCCCCAGCTTGCTATCCAAATTGTTTGTGGTCATTTTCATGTGGCAGTCCTTCCTTGGAGCCCTGTGCTTCGTTTGCTGTATCAGTCTCTCTGGAGTTTATCTTATACTGAGACTTTTTAAGAAAACGTTCAAAAGTAAGGCTCTTCCCAGACATGCCCATCAGTTGTGCCCCACACCCTTATGTGCATATACAGTAGGAGCTGTAAAAGGGTTGATGCTGAGGTACACTTAATAGATCCTTATCCCTGTCTAATGCTATCTTCATGATACCTTCCCCTTCTTCTTATCCTAACCGATGCCTCCTTGGAGACAGCAGTCCCATCAAAATCACTAATGATGGCTAAAAAAAATAAATAAATAAAAAGTAGAAGCCTTAATTCATTTAAAGGGACACTGTCATTTTAAAAATGAAATCCTTCCTTGTGCTGCAAATAATCTCAAATTATTAAAACTAAAAACCTAATTTACTTTTCACAATTTATGGTCATTGACTTTTTCAATTTCTCTCAGCTTGGACAGTCACACTAGACTGAAGATTGTCTTTTTCTGTTTACAGCCCGTTTTACTTTGTGGTGCTCATTCACTAGCACAGTTCTGTTGTGTTTGGCTTTCCAACGCTCCAGGGGAATGTTTACATTAAAAAAAAAAAAAGTAATTGACTTATTTTTGACAAATCTTGAGACATTTCTATTCATATTAGATGTTGAAAAGTTGTTTTAAAAATATACTTTAAAATTGAGCCAAAAGTACAGTCCGTGGCAGTATCCCTTTAAAAAATAATCAGTGCATCCTATCAGATTATGTAGCTTTGTAGTTCAGTTTGTTTCCTCTGTGATTTGTTTTACATTTGCTTTTGGGCTGCCAGAGCACTTAGGCCAGAAATGGATGCACAGTACTGCAGTTACTGAAAGAAGCTCATCTCCTTCATTGTTCCAGTTCAATGGTGAATTGAAGCCTCAGTCCTGCAATTGACATGCCCAGGCCAACTGCTGTATCTGTGTTGAGTGCCACCGAAGTTGTTGGGGCTCCATATTGGTGCAGCAGTCTGCCCACACACTGTCTGTTTCCAGATTGGGGCTTTATTCCCCTGCTAAGCACATTGTGAATGGCTAGGACTCCTGTTTGGATTAATGATGACTCTAGTAGCAGTCAGAGTCTGTTCATTGAACCAGTCTCGGAGGGTCAGACCAGACTGCAGAAGCTGCCCTAGCCATAGAATGCTGACCGACTGAGATAATCAGAAGTACAAAAATTATTTCTCAAATTGAACTGTAAATCTCTAAACCCTCTTGAATAATTAAGGCCTATTATGAATCCGTGTTTGTATTCTTTGATACCGGGAGAGTTGCATTATAGTAAGTCATTACAGATTCCACAGCAATTTTCACAAGAATAGCAATGCTAACCTGGACGTCCTGGTTGAATTCCAATTTGTGTAATTACATGTATTGCCCTATATTGCCTCTGTACTTTTATTTAGATGGCATATTCCTCACTTCCTATTCTAAAATGTTATATATTGGCACTGTTAAACAGATGCTGCATTTCATGCTAGGGCTGACTGCATGTCAGTGCTGGGCAGTCAGTCTTATGTGTATATTATATTACATCTCAAAAACAGTGTTAAAAGAACATGATTAAGGTTGCAAAGTCAAGCACTTAAAAGTTAAGAAATGCCAGAATGAAGATTATCCAGGCAACCTTAATTTGTTCCCTGTGCATATGCATTATGATACAGTCTTTAATTACATGATCTCATGTGCTTTTGCCCACAGGATCCTTACCTCATTCAGTGCACGATGGATGGTGCTCCCTTAAAGAGCAGCTGTTCAATATTTTACTGTTTCGTCAGTGTTCAGTGTGTGGCCCCTGGCCTTATTTAGTGCACATCATTCAAACCCTGCTCTGAAGACATTTCCTCATGGGCTTTCTCTGTGCCACTCATCACTATAGTGTCTGAGTGTCTTCAGAAACACTAGTGAATTCATATTCACTGCACTGCTATGAGAGTAGGTATTGTTATCTCCATTTTACAGATAGGAAGCTTAGGCACAGAGGAATTAAAGTCAAAAATTTCCACTAATTTTGGGTGCCCAATATGAGATACCTAGGATTTGATTTTTTTCAGAATGCTTCGCATCATATAGCACTTCATATGTTCAAACCACGGCTCTCTTTAATGTCAGCTGCAGCTGGGAGCGCTCAGCACTTCTGCAAATCAGACCACAGAGTCTCAAGTTGGGTACCCAGAAAATGAGGAACCTAACATTAGTGACCATCTGTAAAACGTTTGGTTTATCTGACTTGCCCAGCATCAAATGGAACTCTGTGGCAGAAGCAAGTATAGAATCCAGTTCTCCAGGGCTGCATTCACCTCCTTAACCATGAGACCAAACATTTTTTTCTTGCAATCGTCTGCCTCATTCACTACACACCTTCCAACTCCTGCAACAAATGAGGCAGGCCCCTATAGACAAAGTCTCCTTGACAGTATATCCTGGTTCATCCTCAGAGCAGTTCTGTCCTGGGCACTGAATGAGGCAGTGTACAAATATGAGATCATGGAATTAAAGAAAAGATTCTTGTAACGATCAGCCAGCAGGGAAGCATAGAAAAACCCTGACTAATATTTGTTTAATTCTGCATATCCTGTTTAAAGCATGCTGCACCAGAACCTTGATTTTTTTAAATTCAATTCAAGTTGACTGTGTCCCTTTAAAGACCTGCAAAGTTAGTCTTACAGGGCCTGGCTCAAACCAGTTGAAATTGGGATGGTCCCTTGTCATGTACTTAACAACCATAAGCCTCCAAGAGGAGTGAAGGACTTCAGAGGCATGAAAGAAAGATGCTACCTCCCATGATCTTTTTACTGGTCTGAGTACAAAGGATTTTTTACTGGTCTAAGTCAGGTGTGGTTTTGGTTTCATCTCAGACTTCAATATTTGCCAGAAGCTGGGAATGGGCGACAGGGGATGGATCACTTGATGATCACCTGTTCTGTTCATTGCCTCTGAGGCATCTGGCATTGGCCGCTGTCGGAAGACAGGATACTGGGCTAGATGGACCTTTGGTCTGACCCAATATGGCCGTTCTTATGTTCTTACTCTGGCTGCTAAAGGAAGTTTTTGTGGGTGGCATAAGAAGTTTAAAAATATCACTCACTTCCTCTTTCCTGAATTGGTGAGGCCAACTCATCACAGCAATGTATAAGACCCTGAGAGTTAGCCTCAGACCTGGCTCTTCTGACCAGCACTGCTGTGTGCTGTCAACCCACTATGGTTAGCCAGCAATGTGCAAATCTAATGCCTTGTTCTAGGCAGCCCCTCCTAGAGAACATGATCCCACTTGGTCTGCAGTGCGTCCGTTGGAAGTCAATGGGAGTTGTAGGTGCTCAGCACTTCTCAGGGAAATCAGCTCAGCTCTCATCCCATAGGGCTCATGCAGAGGAGACTTACTGAGGCTGATGGTGGGGTTTAACTTAGGAATCCTGCTGCCACCTTCAGCTTTTCCTCTGTACTTTCTTCCTTCCTGCC